TAACTCATTTTCCTCTCCATGGATGCTGCCTGAGCTGCTGCGTGTTCCCAGCGACTTCTGTGTTTAGACTAGATCTGCAGCACTTTATCTTTTGTTTTATGAATATGAAATCTTCCTCCAACCCTTCACAAGCGGTGTTTGCACCTGAAATAGTCCCCAAACCTCTGTAGGCCATCACACGAAGTGTGGCGCTTGAGTGGCAATTTATGGGATACTAGATTGGGTTAAGGTGGTACCTCAATGATAACTAACATCACATTGCAGTGTTCATGCTATGTTTCCGCCTTAACAACTATATGGTCCATTTTTAAAAGACCAGTCAAATGCCCTTTGGTGCTGTGGACACTCCAAATTGACACTTATATAGAGATAATCCAAACCCTTTCCAAATTGGATAATGTTAGTAGAAAGATGCAATTTAAAACATGGATATTCCAGCATCATCACATTCAGTAACAATTATTTACAAAGCATGTTTATAATGCTGAAACCAGTGCTTTCTTTAAGAAAAAGATTAAATGTATGAAATACACCTGGACCCTAATTCTGTCCTTCCTCTGGCATGTTGTGAAAATAGCTGTACCCAGGTCTAGACATTGTATACACATGATGGTTTGTTGTTACTGCTTAAATCTCCAAAGCGATACAGAGGTAGATATTATAATGCACTAATGCATCGAGGAGTTTAGAGATTGAGGGAAGTTGTAAGAGAAAAGATTGACTGAGATGTTTCTGTAACTTTTATTGAGGTTATTTACCCTCCAGTGAAAGGTACAAAGGCTTCTCAGTGTGCTCCAAAGTGCCCTGTTCTTCCCAATGTGCTACCAGCTGAATTCCCTGTGTGATAAAAAGCAGATCTAATTCCTGATTTTTGCCAGTCACTTGACTGATCACCAGAAACACATGATAGAGATTGGGCAATTGAATCCCAAACCAATTTTCTTTCCTTTCACTAGCCAGGACTGAATGCTGAAAGTCATTCTGATTCAGACCTCAGAGGAGGAGGATAGCAAACTTACATTTTATGATTCCATTGTCATTTGTGTTATTGCTTAAATCACAATATAACTGCTTTGCGATGTATCCTTTGCTTAAAACAAAGTTGTAAACATTTGATAGCTTCACTGGATATTTCTTGTTTTTTAGAGAGAACTCCAAATAAAAAGGAAAATTAAAAACCTGGAATCATTTTGCAGATGTTTTTCAAAGTAACCTATTCCCCAGATTGATAATGAGAAATGTGTTTCTTGATATAGACGACAATATAATCATTTGGATGTAAGGCTCCCATTCATAGGTTTGCTGTTTGATTTTTCACAAAGAAATCTGAATTCTGTGAATCAACAGGACGTTCCTGCAGCCCCCCATCACTGCACAATGTGATTAAGAGCAGAGGAACAGATAACAAAAACAAAAGGTGCTCAGAAAATGCGAACACATATTTGCTGGGTAACCCGTTTAGCTATTTGGGTCCAAATAATTTTGTTGTCTTGTAATACTAATTCACTTAACAGTATACACAATATTTACAGTATATTCTGTGAAGCACTTTGAGATGTCTCAAAGACGTGATAAGGCACTGTATCAAATGCAAGAATTATTATTATTATTAATATCTGATGATGACAATTTATCCTGAAGGAAAGATGAAGTTTACAAGCATGAAGTTTGGATGAGATGTGAAGGTGCATAAATGCTGGGTAAAAACGGTTTTGTACAAGAACAAAATTTAATTGCTACTGGCCATAAAATCAAATGCAAAATCATTAGCAACTTCATATTGAGATTTTTACCACACAGTTTGGAAACATTATCTCATCACTTCATATCGTGGAGTCCTGTAGCTCAGAGTTTAGAGCGCTCGCCTTGCAAGTGGGAGATCTGGGTTTGATTTCCAGCAGTGCAAAATGTTGGGCATGTTTCGTTGGGCACTCCACATGCCTTTGTTTACCTAGCAGAAAGTAGGAACCCGGTTGTTAGTCGATTGGCAGATCGCTTTTCCGGGGTAATAATTCCTTCAAAAAAAAATACTTTGGTCACTCAAATCCACGACTGTTTGTGACTGCTGTGCGCAATTGGCTGATGCATTTCACTCACAAAATATACAGTCAATTCACTTGACAGTATATTCTGTGAAGCGCTTTGAGACATCGCATAGGCATGATAAGGTGCTATATTAAATGCAAGGATTAGTATATTATATATATTTACAGAACTCTTGTATAGCCCACAAAATATGCTTTTGTCATAAGCTTAGCAATAACTTAGGCCTAGTTTATACTGAGCTATTTGTGGCAATTGACAATGAAAAGTACAGTATAGAGTAGTATTCAGCAGGAGCCAAAAGCAACTCTTATGCTGAAGGCAAGTTTTTGATACCAAATGAAAGACAAGGTTTCAGTAGCATTAGCTTCATTGAGAAATTGTCCCTTAAAAATAACTATTAAAAAATCATTTTTAATGTTTAATGTGCAGCTGAATCTTTTACATAATAATTTAAAAAATCCACTTAATCATAGCTGGTCAGAAAGTTTTTTCTTAAAGTTTAAGATCACACGGAACTGCGCAAAAACTTTAAAATTCAGCTGTAATTTGCAAGTGAACCTGTTTCTATATTAAGACTCAAAAGAAGAATGTTGCGCAATTCTGCGCAACCTTAACATTCTCATAATATGGCGTTAAGATTAGATAAAAATTTCTGGAATTTCTGATATCAAGAATTTTGCACACAACCAGAACTGAACTTATGCACTCAGTTGCATGTGTACTCAACTCTTCCCAGCTCTACAGCCGATGTGATTTAGAACTTGAAGTGTAAATCAAGCTTTTCACTCCCTATTGCTCTATTAGCAGCAATGACAAACAGCGCACAATCAGTGGTACAAAGAGACCATTCATCTGTCTGTGTGCTTGTATCTAGGGAAAAACATTGAGCAAAAGACTGTCAGTACTCTGGTGTATCTCACACCATACTCAGACTCAAATGGAACAGAACCCAATGTAATGGAAACTCCTTGATTTCAACAGAGATTTATATTCCAGATCTGATCATCGTGTGATGAGTTAGTGTGATGACGTTGATAAAACAAAATACAATCACAAAAACATTCTTTTGCAGGCGGTGACATATAGCTGTAACATACGTTCAGTATCACAGTCAAGGGCTGACCAAAGAATTTAATCATTTCTATTTTGGGTTACTGTAGCTTAGTGGTTAGAGCACTCGCCTCACAAGCGAGAGGACCTGGGTTTGGTTCCCGGCAAGGTGAAACTTTGTAAAAGTTTCCTTACTCCACACGCCTCTGTTTACCCAGCAGTAAGTAGGAACCTGGTTGTTAGTCGATCGGTGGATTATTTTTACGGGGGTAATAATCCCTTCTCAAAAAAATAATAACAATTTGGTCACTTGATCCATGACTGCTTGTGGAACACTGCTGTGTGCAATTGGCAGCCACATTTCACACACAAAACATAGTCAATTCACTTTACACTATATTCTGTGAAGCGCTTTGAGACTTGGAGAAGACATGATAAGGCCCTATATCAAATGCAAGGATTATTATACTGTATTTACACAGCCTGGGTTAATATCCTGATGCTGGGGCTGCAGTGGTGGTCAGTGATTAAATTCAAAATGCAGGCCAACCCTGTTCTAACGTGCCTCAGTGTAGCACAGGTCTGCCAATAGTAGCAATGTAACATAGATCTGCGGTTTATTGTTATCACTGTATTAGCAGACTTGCGCTAAGCCAAGAATGAGAGATACATTTCCAACTTCAAGCACTGACTGACTGACTAGCTTCCTATGTATAGCCTAAAGCCACAGAAGCCTCCTTTCATCTCATCGTGTCTCAGCACCACTGGAAATGCTCACAAGAGCAACAGGAAGAAACATCAGCAGCAGCCAAGTGACCAGAAATGTTGATCGGTCGCTATTTTGTATACCGTGCCCCATTATAATATAGTGCCCGGTTTTATGGATCCTAACCAATAAACTGACTATTGCCTTAATCTGTGCAAGAAAAAAAATCCATAAAATTCCATTGAAGTAAATTAATTTTGAGAGAAAAAAGTCTTACACTGAGAATATCAGGTTACAATGGAGCTTCTTAAATAGACATTATTCGATGAGTTCTGAACTATGAATATTTGTTCTCATTATGTACAATCAGATTTTCACTGACACAAGTGTTTTTTTACAAGCAATTAAAGAAATAAACTCAAACTATCTGTGTTACTCTAATATGTCAGCCAAGTGAAATCCTGAAAACTCATACATAGATGTACATTATCGAATCAGCAAATTCAAGTACCACTAGGGTGAATTGATAGTTTTTTTTAGGGTAAGAAATTCTATTCAACAGGATTTTTTTATCATCACCCTTCAGTGATATTAAACCATCAGATTGTTTGTTCTAACATATCTTTGAGGCAATAGTTATTAAATCTCAAGACCAGCTGCCAGTAGTTATAGTCAAACTAATCTCAGCAAGAATGTGAAGAGTGAAATAGTTTCTTGTTTTCATTCAACTTCCAGATCTTAATTAATGGTTGCTTACTAGTCAGACACAACACAGACAAAATGTGAGTTTGGCTAATAATACCATACAATACAAATATAAAATTACATTTGTGAAGCGCCTTTCACGTCAGAAGGACATCCCAAATCTATGAAATCACCATTGTTTTAAATTGGTGGTTGATCATACAATTAAAGGCACTACATATGCTTGAACACAGTCAGCCTACATACATTTAAGACAAAAGTGTCTTAAAGATTAAGCCCAGGTGGAATTCTGAGCCTATCATGGCCATTTATCACAATCAAAGTAACTGATTCAAAGGGCAAGAGGTTTGACACCCTACTGATTAGAACAGTGTAAGAAATAAAATGACTTCAAATGTACAAATATGCTATGAATAATATACAATAAAAACATCAAATATGTACACTGTATTAACAAATGAAAAGAGACTTTGGTTAACCTTTTTTCCATCCTTGGCAATGTAATTTACCAGAAGCTGACAATAAAACTGTTCTGCACATATTACATGTACAGTATACGCAAACGATTGCCTGGGAGTATTAAAATCTACTGTGCAGCTTTATGATGATGGGATTGGGGGGGGTGGGGGGTTGGGGGAGGTAGGGCAAAGTGAGTGCAGACATGGGGAAAGAAGGGAATAGAGGGGCATAGGGGGGTATTAGGAGAGGTGGAAGCTTGCATGGAGTATAAACACCGCAACAGATTAGTTGGTCTGAATGGCTTGTTTCTGTGCTGTACAGTGTACTTTATTCTATGCAAATTATTTTCATCTCTTTCTCATTCTAACTTTACAGCTTTCTTTAATGATCCAATGAAAGGCTAGCAACATGCACAACCTTCCATTCTTCTGTGTTTCTAAGAGCTTCTTGGGAACATTCACATCTTTTCTTTTAAAGGGCGTTTGAAAAAGCCAGCCTGTGAATAAAAACAGAATCGTATCGACTTAAAATTATATTCCTTTTACAAACAAAGAATCACATGCTTATACTGTTCAGAATCTAACAGGCAGATTTTCAGACTGTGAGATCGTTAGGTTGTAAACTTTGGGGATTGATGTTATTGGTATTACTGTGGACAAGTCTGAAGAGGTCAAAAATAGTTTACTGTCTTGGCTTAAGAACATGCAGAATATTTAAAAGTGGTAAATTCAATCTTAATTTGGAAGACCGGTAATTTTAAGAACTGCAGAAATCTTACAACAACAACCTGTACTTATATAGTGCCCTCCACACAGGGTAGCTAGTGTCTCAGAGTGCTAAGCAGTGGTGCAGCCTGACTCCAAACTGGGGGGGGGGGGAGGTCACCGTAAGCACAATTGAAAAGGAAGGTTTTCAGTCGGGATATGAAAAAGGGGAGAGGGGGCAAGGTGGAGGGATTGAGGGAGAGTGTTCCACAATTTTGGGGCAATAAAATTGCGTCTCAAAGCGTTTTACCTAAGGTACTGTATTTTATGTATTTTGTAGGCGAATGCTGTAGCCAATTTACACACAGCAAAGTTCCACAAACAGCCAAGAAGGTCAGAGGTGAGATTGCTAATAATTGAGCCAGCCTGGCTCACACAGATTAAAAAAAAGCATGAAGTCAAAAACGTATTCATGCTTTTTTAAAATTAGGCACTTCAATTATAATTCTGTCCAGGCATTCCTCTATGAAAAAAAACACTGCTTTGAAACACAGTAGATTTTCTTACTACACTTCAAAAATGCACAATACAGCAAGAATTTGGATTCAGAAATATTATTGAATAGATATTCTGTTCATCTTGCTTCTTTGCAGCTGCGATAATCTTGACTTAAAGTGGAAATTGCTTTACTTCGAAGCATTAAAATGCTGAATCTTTAAAAATGGCTACGTTTTACCAATCCCTGTACTGCCTATTAAATATGAAGGGGAATAAAGAATTTTTGCTTTGCAATTGGTTCTAAGGCAATGTGACACTTACCTTCCACAGCCCAAATATTAAAAGTGCAAGAAGTAACAGGCCAGCAAGTACACTCAGCACGATAACCCATATAGGGATTCCCCCACGTAATTCTTTTGTCACAGTTAAAGTCACCTGTAAGTTGAAAGAAAGCAAACCGTAAGCATTTGGATTTGCTAATATGAGAAGAGTTTTAAAAAAATCAGAAACACTTTATAACAATCTGAAATTCCAGTTATATGAAGTACTTTTGGCGAGGCACCATTATCCACGACTGTTTGTGGGACACTGCTGTGCACAATTGACTGCCATATTTCGCCCACAAAATATAGTCAATTCACTTCCCAGTGTATTCTGTGAAGCGCTTCAAGACATCTAGAAGACATGAAAAGTGCTATATCAAATGCAAGGATTATTATTTTATATTATTATAAAGGGGTACTTATAATGTCTTTGGTGTTAGTACATGTAGTGCCTTTGACGTTAGTGGACAACATTACCAAAGGCACTATATGTACCATTGACTGGATTAGTTGGGCTGCTTCCATGTGCGACTCCATCATGCATTAGACTTCCATTTAGTGGGATAATGGGTCAGCTCCAATCTTTCTATTGTTTTTCAACAGTATTCTACTGATCGGATGCCCAATGTGCAGCCTGGCTGATGTCTTGGGGCAATGGTTCTAATGACAATAACAACAATTTGCACTTATATAGTGCCCTCCATGCAGGGTAGCGTCCCAGAGCGCTTAACAGTGGCGGAGTTTGACTCCGAGCCGGGGTGGGGGAAGATGGCGTAAGCAGGTCGAAGAGGAAGATTTTCAGGCGGGATTTGAAAAAGAGAGTGGGCAAGGTGGAGGGACTGAGGGAGAGTGTTCCAGAGTTTCGGAGCGTAGTGACTGAAAGCGTGACCTCTGATGGTGGGGCAGAGGGTGCGAGGGATGGGCTGGAGGCTGGTGCCTGTTGAGCGGAGGTGCTGGGTGGTGGATAGGGGAGTGAGGAGGTCGGAGAGGTAAGGAGTACTCCAAGCAGGAGGTGACAAACGCATGCACAAGAGTTTTCGCTGCATTTGGTACGGTCTGAGATGGGCAATGTGGAGGAGATGGAAGAAGGAGGTCCTAGTCAGGTACTAGATGTGGGGGAGGAAGGACAGCTCAGGGTCAAACCAGATGCCTAGATTGCACACTGGTTCAGTGAGTCTGAGGGAGAGCCCAGGGAAGTTGAGGAGTTCAGATGCACAAGAGTGAAGACGTTGACATGAGCCAAGAAGTATGGCTTCTGTCTTGTCCACATTCAGCTGCAGGAAATTTGTCCAGGCCCTGCCAGACAAGCTGATAGAACATCAGCAGACCTGGAGTTGGTACTGGAGGAGGCAAAGTAGATTTGTGTGTCATCAATAAAGATTATTAATCCTTGCATTAGATATAACACCTTGTCATTGCTGGACTGTCTCAATGTACTTCACGGGGTATTGGTTGTTTCATTTGCCTACCAAAAATACACAGTGACTTTGTATTTTTGGTAAGCAAACTCGACAACTAATTTACACATAGTAATGTCCCACAAACAACCATGAAGTAAGTGAGCAATTTTTTATTTGGGGGATTGTTGGCCAGGACATGGGATCTTTAATGTCCATCTGCACAGGAAGATAGGGCCTGGGTTTAACATCCGAAGGACAGGACACCCTAATATACAACACACACCAGTACTGACTAAAGTGCCAGCCTAGACTGTGAGGTCAACATGCTGATATGGGACTTTGTGAACTGTTTTGGTGGGGTGGGGGTGGGGGTGCGCAGAGTGACCAACACCAACACAGCAACTCATCGACTGATAATTAACACATTAAGTAAATAAAACATCCCAGTTTTCACTGCAGTTGTTTGCACACTGACATTTCTGAGTTCTGCGGTATTGTTCTGCACAGGCTCTGATATTTGTTTGAACAGAAAATGCTTCTGTATTCCCCATAAAATATTCTACAATGAGCAACTTCATAGTTACTGCTGGCAGGCTCTGGTATCGTGCAGCGTACAGAGTTTCCCACACACAGTCATTCTTTGACTGTGTAATCGCTTACTTCTGGTCTAACTAACTACATGCTAACGATTCTGGGCCAGAAATTCACCTTCTGTTTCTGAAGATTTGGACAGAGGATAATTTTCCTTAAACTATAAAATTTCTATGGACTATGTAAATATCTTCGGGTTCTATTCTGGATCTAGTACAGTCCTCTTATAAAAGCTTTACTGAATAAGAGCTAACTTTCTTCTGTTGAACGTCAACAAGACCGAGGCTCTCCTGATTGGCTGCTATCAGTGCCTCCTCACCTCAGGCGCTGACCCCATCACCATCCATGGTTGCACACTCCACTTGCTAAGCCAGTCCAGAAACTTGGGTTCTTGTTTGACCCTCAACTATCCTTTCTACCCCACATCTGCGCCATGACCCGCTCTGCTTTCCCCTACCTCCGCAACATTGCCCGGCTCCGACACTGTCTCACTCCGCAGGCCACCGAAACCCTCACGCATGCTTTCATTACATCGAGGCTCAACTGTGCAAACTCATTGCTTGTCGGCCTCCCCAACTCCTCCCTCCATAGGCTGCGGATCATCCAGAACTCTGCAGCCCGTGCCCTCTCCCGCACCAGGCTCTGCGACTCTATCAACTCCATCCTCGCCCAACTCCACTGGCTTCCCATCGCACAGAGGATACAGTTCAAGATCCTGAACCTCACCTTCAAAGCTCTCCACAGTCTTGCTCTCTCCTACCTCTCCGACCTCCTAACCCCCTACCACCCTGTTTGCTACCTCCGCTCAGCGGGCTCCAGCCTGCTTCACGTCCCCCCCTATCGGCGGGCAGGCCTTCCACTACTCTGCACCTACCCTCTGAAACTCCATCCTGCAGTCCCTCCGTCTCACCCCCTCCCTCGCCACCTTCAAGACCTTCGTCTTCGACCATGCTTTCGATCCCCCTGCTTCCCCCCCTCCCCCACCCCGACCCTCGGCTCGGGTCCATAACTCTGTCTGTCCAGTGCCTTGGGACGTTCTCCCGATGTGAAAAGCGCTATACAAATATAATTTTATTGTTGTTGTTGTTTACTATAGCTTAAATTCACTGAAATACAATTGCAGTCTGCCTTCATTTACCTACCATGCTATTATCATAATGCTAATAATAATCCTGGCATTAAATATAGCACATATAACATCAAAACATCCTAAAGTGCTTCACGTGTAATTGCAGTCAAGTGACTAGGCATCTGTAAGCAAATGCAGCAACCATTTTAATAATAATAATCCATGCATTTGAGATTATTACAAAAGTCATTAGTCTGCAAAATAAACAGTCACTACACTTCACAGTAAATCATGTGAGATGTTTTGAGAGGTCCTATCAACTTGAAAAGATGTTATATCGAATGCAAGGATTTAAGCCTACAAACTATACAGTCAATTCACGTTAAAGTATATTCTGTGAAACGCTTTGAGACATCTCGAAGAAATGATGAGGCAGTATATCAAATGCAAGGATTATTATTATTAAATAACACCATATCATGTCATTGAGACGACTCAAAACGCTTCGCAGAGTACAGTATAGTCTAAAGTGAATTGACTGTATATTTTGTGGGCGAAACATAGCAGCCAATTAGGCACAGCAATGTCACACAAAAGTCGTGGATTGAGTGACCAAATTGTTATTATTATTTTGCATGCTTAAGTTTCCCGGAAACAGCCATGAAATGAATGAACAATTTTTCTGGAGGACTGTTTGTCAGGAGACCTATCTTTTCGAAGAGTATCATGTGAATAAGACAGCAGCTGTTACACTATCGAGGCCCTCATCTCTGCTGGATCCTAAGAAGCAAGTACAGTACTTTGCAAAAGAAAACTAGCAAACCAATCATTATCGAAACTTTCAAACACCTCTTAGTGAATGGTCACAGAGCAAAATGAGAGGAAGCTGCGAGCTGGCTGTTTACCCAATCCGTTAGCTACAAAGTGACACTGTATAAATGATAGAATAGTACAATGTAAGAGTGAGTTAACAGAAATCATTACTGAAATCATTTATGGAGAATGATTGTAACTATTTGTTTGGACTGGTTACAACAGCTTAAGAAAGGAATGGAACTAGAATAGGCCATTTGGTCCATTAACTCCCTTCTTTCCACAGACCACACAAATTGTAACTCTAGCTCTTCCACCCACTTAAACTCCTGGGAGAAACCTCTGGATCACAAAGGTGATGGAGCAAAAACTCCAGAAGGTTCATATATTCCTATAACTCTCCTGTTCCAACCTGCCATTTCCGCAAACAACATTCTCCCCACCCCCGAGCCCCACACCCCAGGAAGACTAAAGTAATTGTGTCCCATTGAGTATTTGATCACTTCCGTCTGTATTATTTCCCTCTATACCGTCCACCATTGTTCACAGACAGATATTTATATTGTTCTTTTTTGAAGGAGTTAATTCAGCAGAATCTTTTACACATAACACCAACAAATTATATTTGTATAGCGCCTTTCAGATGTTGAGAACATCCCAAGGGGCGGCTGCACAGTCAAGGCTTTGCACTCTAGCTTGGAGTTGGGATCGGGTGGAGGGAGTGTGAAGGAAGGTACAGGTAGGAAGTTATAACTTCACAGGACAAGATTTGAAAAAAATCTATTAGTGGTCTCTAGTTAGATCTCGATTTCAGTCAGTGTCTGTTGCTTATTGCAACCCCTTGTATGTATAGGCATTTGAGATTCTTTACTGAAATCCTTATGATTTTAGATTTGAAGACAAATACCTTAAAATTTATAATGATGCCGAATATTATAAGATTCTTCCATTTACTCCATCGTAATTTATTGCAGTCCTGAGTTTATTAATTTTCCCAAATTCTACAAGTTCTTAAATATTAAGAATAAGATTAGATTTTTTAAAAAAATGTCTTGACAACTCACCAGCCATTGATTTAATGACTGGATAATTCCCAGCACTGCACCGGAATGTCAGTCTAGAGTGTAAGCTGATATGGAAACCGCCAACCTCCTGATTCAGAGATGAGTGGTGAAATTCAACATGCTTCCCCTCCCCCAATACTATTTAGCTTATCCCGTTACCCCCTTCAGTTTGGGTCAATTGTATGAAGTGATTTGAGATGTCCTTGTGACATGGAAGGTGTTATATAAAATGTAAATTGTTGTTGTTTCTGCCAACTGAACCAGGCTGACACAAATGTCTGTGGAGATATAATCCAACTTGAAATTGATACCTAAATATGAGAAGGACAACCCTATAGAAAATTGTCTCAACAGATTCAGATCTTTGTACAATCTAACAATTAATTTCACGCAGGATTACCTGTCCTGCCTGACTATCTAACCAACCTGTTCAATTAAATTGAGTTATTATAAATGACGTGTGTGTGCATAACAAAAAATTGACATGACTGATTTCTAGCGAGGTAACATGATACAAGAGTTTATTTAACCTGGAACAAATGATTAAGTACATTTGACACATTCCTAAAATTCATCCTCCAGCGAAATAGAAATGATTCTTTAGTATTACCTTGAAACTGAATACAGATAAAGACCAACTTTGCTAAATCTTCAATTTCTGATGCTCAAAAAATGAGAGATCCACAAAATTATTTCTCTGTACACTATTCAGAAAGTACCATCTAAAAGTAGAGCTCAAACATATTCACTTAATCTCATGAGATTTGTATTTCCTGACTTGTTGGTTAAAGAGTAGTTTCAGCGGAGGACAGAAGGAAGAGAAGAACAAAAGACCACTGTCCTCAGAGTGATGTCACTGTGTAGACAGCAGTACTGCTCTCATACTGACTCTAATGGTTCTTAAATACCGAGAAGTAATTGGAGCCAAACGGGATAACAGAGTACAACTGTTTTAGCCCAGACATATAAACTCAAATGATAATCCTTTAGGACTGGAGGCATGATAGGCAGACGATGCTGCTTCTCAATATCTAGCTGTTAGTTATTTCAACACTGCACAACGATGCTGAGATAATGAATTCTAACATTTTAAGGAATGTCAGTATGTCAGACAGTAACCATTGCTGAAAACAAGGTAAGGCTGATGTGTTATTGTATGTGGACATACTGAATAATATCACGTTATCAATTATACAACTGATGAGGAGATTTAAAAAAAAACATAGTCTACTCCATGTCTCCCGCCCGACCCACCCTTCCATCGGTAGCCGGGCTTTCAGCCTCTCTGCCCCCACACTCTGGAACTCCATCCCACAGTCCCTTCACCTCGCTTCCTCTCGTGCCTTCTTCAAGGCCGGTTTCAAGACCCTCCTCTTCGATCGTGCCTTCGGTCGCCATCCCACCTCTCTGCCTTCCCTCATCCCTACTTGACCCCTCCTCCATGCTCAGATCCTGATCCCTGACTGTCCAGTGCTTTGGGACGTCCTCCCGACATGAAAGGCGCTCTATAAATGTAATTTTGTTGTTGTTGTTGCTTGCCTTACATGAGAAGGTTGTGGATTCTGCCACTGTTGCAGTGCAACGATGAGACAATAATAACCACATTTGTATAGCATCTTTCATGTCGGAAGTACGTCCCAAGGTGTTAGACAGTTAAGGGTTTACACTCAAGCTGGGGGTTGGAATCAAGAGAGGTGAAGGGTAGGGGGTGTGGGATCGGAGGGAGAGCTTGATATGGGCCTTGAAGGAGGCAAGGGATGGGACGAGGCAGAGAGATTCTGGGATGTTAAAAGTGAGATTTCATCTGCTTATTCAAGTGGACTTTATTTGAAAAGAAATGGGATTGTCTCTACGGCAAACAATCCGTCAGATAAAATTGGTCATTCACGTCATGACTATTTGTTGGTCATTGCACTGCACAAATTGGCTGTCACATTAGTCTACAAAATAAACAGTCACTGCACTTTACAGTAAATCATGTGAAACGTTTTGAGAGGTTCTCCCGACTTGAAAAGATGTTATATCAAATGCAAGAATTTAAGTCTACAAAATATACAGTCAATTCACTTTACAGTATATTCTGTTAAGTGCTTTGAGACGTCTCGAAGACGTGTTAAGGTGCTATAGCAAATGCAAGGATTATTATTAGGATAACCTTGGTTGTAACTTTGTTAAATGTTATACACTTGGATGGATGTAAGAACTTTAACATATTCCTGATTAGTGTTCAGTAGCCAAACCTTGAACTTCAAAGGAAATTGATAATCAATAAAGACAGAAGATAATGACTCACAGTGCTTTTTTCCATTGCTTTGTTGAGTACGATTAACTGTGAATCTTCAATCATTAACGTGGAAGTTACATTTAAACCTATTGAATAAAAGTGTGCCTGTAATGGGAGAAAAGAAATGCTTATTAAAATAACCAAGTAAATTGTAATGCAGTTTTGTCTGGTTGGGCAAAAACCAGTATGAGAAACATTACACAGCTTAGCATTTCACAAGATCATGAGAGAAGTTTGCATGAAAAGGGTAATTAGGTCCATTTGGTCTCAGTTAATTTAGAAAAGTCATCCTTCCATCACAGCATCAAACTGTTTTTAAAGAAGTCCAGTGTATTGTCTTCAACCACTCCGATAAACTATGCTAGCTGTAAATTATCATCTGTGTTAAGAGATATTTCCTGATGTTTGTCTTGAAATTTCCCTTTGCAACTAAAAAGCTTTGTTCTCCTGTCTCGGTGCATCCAAAGGAATTTAACTGATTTAGCAATGTAGTCCAACATCCTGTTTGTTTATTGTTGACTCACACTGTTTTGACATGGTGAGCGACAAGTCAACTATTACGCCTGATCTCTTTCAGCTTCTCATTAGCATGTTCTGTCCCATCCATAGAGTGCATAAATCTTCTATTCTTACTTTCCATACGTAGCATTTTGCGCATATCTGTATTGAGCTTCATTTGCCAGTCATCACATTACTACCTTACACTGGGTCTGTTAATCTAAGTTATTAATGTTACAAGGAACAGGAGGGATCATAGTACAGTCCCCAGAGGCACCCTGCTTTAATACTTTCTCACATTTTGTCCTAGTTTCTCTAAGAGTCCTCTGCTTATTTCTCTTCAGCCAATTTCAAATCCATGTCTTTGACTTAACTCTGAATCAATACGGGACAGAGCATTGCACAGGAAGGGAGTTTACATGTGGGAAGATGTTGAAGAGAGAATCTAATGAAAAATATAAAATAGAAAGACCGACAAAACTGCTTGCAGAAGCATAAATTTCATCAGTTTATTTACACAGAGCTGGTGATCAGTATTGTAATCCACTTTACTTACTTTAATGAAAGAAGGTTTCCATAGTCTAAATGAAATATTAACCTGGACCATACTTGAGGGATCCAAAGTACAAAAGAAGGATGCACATCCTGCAGGATGTTCACATTGCTATTAGAAAATAAAGACAAGATTATTGTAAATTGTGCAAAAAAAATTGTCAGCAAAATGTAGAACGATGTAGCAAAATGTAGCCACGCTTTCAGCCACTACACTCCGAAATTTAGGAATACTCTCTCTCAATCCCTCCGCCTACCCCCTCCTTCCCCATCTTCAGGTTACACCTGAAGAGCTTCCTCTTCGACCGTGCTCACAGTCACCTCCCACTTCCAGCAGGCTCGCCGTCGTTCTACACCATTGTCGAGCACTCTGGATGCTGCCTTGCTCGAAGGGTGCTATATAAATGCAAGTTGTTGTTATACGATGCAAACCAAGACAGATTTCTGTCAATGACTTTGAGACAAGTTCATTTACAACTCTTAGAAAAGAGCTTCTAACATTAATTTAGGACTGAATTTCAGGGCATTTCTAAAAGGTCTTATTCAATCTTAAATTTAATCTTAAATTTTAATACTATGGTCCTGAAATTCAGAGTATGGGGTAAGGGTAAGAGTGTGTAGTATTTCAAGCCTCTGGTACTTTTAACTCAACAAATGCTGTTCTGCTGTTCCTTTATTGCATATACATTACTAAAAAAGATAGACTATAATTACCCCGTTTACCCTCCGGAATCATGGAGGGGTGGGTGAGGGGGGCAATGGCAATGAAGTATTGGAATCGAGTTGATCTTCTATGGTGGCCTCAGTAGTCCAGTTCCTGAACCAATTGATTTTACAGTACTCCAAGGGGCCACTGCTTACAGAGCAGTTGGTCTGGCTCATCAACAGGATTTGGAAGGACAAGCCAATCGCTGGGAGCAGGGATTCTTCCCACTCAGCTCCCGTTAATCTATAAGGGTCCTAGCTGGACAAACAGGGAAGCTTGCAAGATAGTGCTCATAATGACAAGTAACTCAGTTTTCAACAATAACAAACTGCATTTATATAGTGTGTTTCACATCAAGAGGAAGTCACAAAGTACTGGATAGTCGAGGGTTAGTACCTGAGCTGGGGGTTGGATTCAAGAGTAGTGAGGACCAAGAAGAGTGGACATGGGAAGATGACCAAAGGTGTGGGTGAAAAGGAAGTTCTTGAGATGGACCTTGAAGGAGACAAGTGAAGGGGCAAGACAANGGAGTTCCAGAGAGTGAGGGCAGAAAGGCTGAAGGCCCGATTGCTGATGGTTGACTCTTGCCAACCTGCACCTAATGTTCTCTGGAATTAGGTAAGTAGGGTGTGTTCCTCCAGGAAGAGAATGCACATTTCTATGCATATGGCATGCATATGGCAGACGTATATACAACTCCCAGTCGAGTTTGGATAGTCTTAAGCATGGTGCTAGCGTCCATATGTGTCAGATACTCAGCTGACAAATAAAATTACCTCATTGGTCCTGATGAGATCCTCCTGTACTGGCAGAGGTCTGTGAGGGTTTGTGGGACTTATCTTCAGAGGATCTACAAAATGTCCAGCTTCACACGTCACATTATTCTGTCAGATGGGAAGCAGATACAAATATATTTTTCAGTCAGCTATAGATCAATTTCATATGCAGAGACTGGATCTCTTTGGAATACTCAGCACTGAAAAATCCCATGTGAAACCATGACAACTTTGCCTCTGTAAATACAAAATGTCCAGTATCCAAATTTGTTCTCTATTACAATGAACTCAGAATTACTGAATTACTGATTAATATATTGTGTAAGTGGGCATCTGCACGACTGTATCTGCATCTTATTAAGTCATAACAATGCTTCTTGAACTCTAGGATTTGTTTTAAGACTGGCCTAGTCAAATGGGATGAAATCTTCTTTCTTGGACACTTAAACATCACAGATGTGTAACAGATCATAAATAAAATGACCTTCAACAACCTTAGTCTAGTTCACACCGAACGTCTCATAATTCACAAGGAGAGATGCTATGAAAAATGGAAATGATACACTGGTCAAACAGGGTGAGATTAGGGTTGAGGCATATCAATAAGTTTATAAAAGGACTAGTCTTATAACCGAAAGACTTGCAATGTGAATTATGTACTGTGCACTTTTCAACAAATGTACTGTAGGCAATAAAAGGCTAACTTACTGAGTGAGTTATGCCCGTCAAGTATAGAAGGGTATTGTTTGCAGGAGACAAATTCGGGAATGTTAAGGTCATTCGAAGAAGCTGGATTTTGAAAGGACCATCATTGTGGACCTACTCGTAAAACAAAAAGAGAAAGGATTATTACAATTCAGTCTTATCAGATATAGTTTTAGACAGGGATGTTCCTCAAACTTGATTACAGACACAGACCCCAATTAATTCCACCTTTTTGTCTTAAAATGCAAGATAATAATATTCCTTCCATTTGATATAGCGCCTTATCACATCTTTGAGACATCTCAAAGCGCTTTACAGAACATATTGTAAAGTGAATTGACTGTATATTTTGTGGGCCAAATGCGGTAGCCATTTGCGCAAGCAGTGACTCACAGACAACCATGGATTGAGTGACCAAATTATTAGTATTATTCATTTATTTTTTGAAGGGATTATTACCCCTGGAAAAGCAATTCACCAATCGACAAACAAACATGTTCCTACTTACTATTAGGTAAACAGAGGTGTGTGGAGTAAGGAAAACTTGCCTAAGTTTTCACTCTACCCGGGAATCGAACCCGGCTCCTCTGGCTTGCAAGGCGAGTGCTCTAACCACTACGCTACAGGACTCCAAGATGATGCAGAATTGAAGAAGGTTCTCAAATTTGGCCTTAATTTCATTTTCGTAAAGCAACCTTGAGACATTCTGTCTGTGTCTATCTATCTGCCTTCAGGTCGTGCAGTAAAACCTAACTCTTTTTTAGACTTCGCCTATCATCACCTCGCCCTTCGCCTCCGCTTGATGCCTATCCCCTCATGGTAAAGTGCTCCCAGATATTATTATATGCAAGTGTTGCTGCCCTCCCAATGTGAAAGGTGCAATATAAATTTGAAACAATTACTGTTGTAGGAGGGAGAGTGGACAAATATTCTCTGAGAAAAAATAAAACAATGTTTGGTATGCATGCTGGCACATTGCCCTGGAGGAAGGCAGAGAGGTTTAACGATTTATAGCAACTTGTATGGCCTGGTACAATTGGTAGCACCTTGGCTCTGAGAAGGTTGTGGTTCAAGTCCCACATTGGTGCTTTCAACTCATATAGTGTAGGCTGACACTCTAGTGCAGTGTTGTCTGCCTATTCAGGTGGGCAATAAAAATCCCATGGCACTATTTGAAAAGGGAAGGAAGATTCTCCTGGTGATCTGGCAACAATCCCCCAGATAAAACTGCTGATTCATTTCAAAGCTGTCTACGGGACATTGCTGCGTGCACATTCACCCAAAAATACACAGTCACATCCAATGTTTCCTGTAAAACATTTTTGAGACATCCACTGGATATAATATCAAATATACAACAACAACAAAATTGCATTTGTATCGTACCTTTCATATGTGAGCTGTCCATAAATAATTGCAGAGTGAGACAATTTGCCCACATCCTCTTGCTACTTGTCTGCTGTTCAAATTGGTCTGAGCCAGCCAGTTTGTTAAATGAATGATCAAACAGTTCTTAACGGCTCATGTGACAGCTGTAATTGGGAGGAGAATGCCCCAAATGCTCGCATCTTTGATTATTTATTTTCTTCGTTGAAATAAAATACTAATCAAGAGGTTTGTTTTGTTACTTACCATGTAGCTGATTTCCACTGCATCGCCGATTTCCTGAATACTACTGATAACATTGGAAATTGTGTCATTGGCTGCTATCTTAAAGTGATCATCTTTTATTGTCCTGCAGGTGGAAATTTGAAGCAAGTGTTAGGCTAAGTATAATAAGTGGCAGAATATAATAATAAACCTTGCATTTGATATAACGCTTTATCACGTCTTTGAGCTGTCTCAAAGCACTTCATAGAGTACACTTTAAAGTGAATTGATTGTATATTTTGTGGTCAAAGTGTGTCAGCCAATTGCACACAGCAGTGTCCCACAAACAGTCGTGGATTTAGTGACCAAAGTAATTTTTTTGAAGGAATTATTCTCCCCAGAAAAGTGATCTGCCAATTGACCAACAACCGGGTTCCTACCTACTGCTAGGTAAACAGAGGAATGTGGAGTAAAGAAACTTGCTCAACGTTTCACACTGCTGGGAATCGAACTCAGGTCCTCTCGCTTGCAAGATGAGTAGTCTAACCACTGAGCTGCGGAATGCCACAGTAGTTTATGATCAAAAATAAAGTTCCAAGAAGTACCGCAGGTGATTATGTGGGGGGAGGATGGAGAAGCTATTAGATTAAGTTTGCTTGGTTTCATACTCAGTGGTCAGATTGGCTTCAAATTCATGAGAAAGTTCAATGATTGTAAAATTGCTGAGAAACATCAGAATCCACAACTGTTAAGATGGATAATAATAATAATAATCCTTGCATTTGATATAGCGCTTTTCACGTCTTCTAGATGTCTCAAAGCGTTTCACAGAATATGCTGTAAAGTGAATTGACTGTATATGTGTGGGCGAAAAGCGGCAGCCAATTGCGCACAGCAGTGTCCCACAAACAGTCATGGATTGAAAGTGACCAATTTATTATTGTTTTGTTTTGGAGGGATTATTATTAGTCGTGTGGAGTAAGGAAACTTGCCGTTTCGCCGTGCCTGAAATTGAACCCAGGTGTTTCGCTTGCAAGGCGAGTGCTCTAACTACTGAGCTACAGGACTTCTCAGCAATGTATAATGACATTGCTGAGAAATGCCAGCAATCTTAAAGTGCCTATTAATTAATGTTTGACATGCGAGTTACACTCTCATCCACGGAATCAAACAGTAGCTGACACTATTCTGAGTTGTGGCTAGTCTTACACTTTACCATAGAACCATAAAAGTTTACAATGCAGAAGAAAGCCATTCCATCATGTCTGTGCTGCCTCTTGATTTGTAACAAATAAAAGTCCACATAGCCTGTGATGGATCTTCCTTGCTTGCTTTCCTGGTCAATAACATAGCCTCGGCAGATGATGAAACGTAACTGCGGATGATCTTTTAATATTATAAATACACCCCCCCCCAGTTCCACAAGGCCTACTGGTCCCAACACTCAGAAACAAATCTTTTTTCGCTCATTCACATCCCCACCCTTCCTGTCAATCCTCCTCCTCCCACATTCCCCTTGTCCTGCAAACCTCTCTACTGTATATCTCCTCCACATCGCCATGCAGAATATCTGCTCTTTCTCCAACAAACTCTCACCGTCCACTGCCTCATCCTTGACAAAAACATTGACATCTTTGTTCTCATTGAAACCTGTATCACCCCCCGTAACATCTTCTCCCCTCACTGAGACTAATCCACCCAGTTACACCTTCCATCATATCATACCCGATGAACCAACCATGATTATGTTGACATGGCTCTCAACTCCAGGTCTCCAGTCGAGTGACTCCTACTCCTACTCCTCCAGAACCATCTCCTCCTCTGAACAACTCACCCTTTACCATACCATGGGGCCTCACCATCTTGGACAGCACCATCACCGATAAAGCTTTCTCGGACCTTTACTTCAATTTGCTCAACTCTTCCATTCCTCTCCCTAACACCCAATCCACTGGCTCCCCATCCCCCAGAGAATTGAGTTCAAGATCCTAGTCCTCACTTTTAAATCCCTCCACGGTCTTGCCCCGACCTATTTGTGTGACCTTCTAAAACTCTACCAACCTGATCACTCCCTCCTTTCGGCAAGCAATTGGCCTACTTCACGACCCCCTGTGCCCACTCCACCAGTGGGGGTAAGGCTTTTTGCCCCCACGCTCTTGAGACAGATCTTTAAGGAGGGGTCTTTAAGGTCCATCTCAAGACCTTTATCTTTGACCATGAGCTTGGTCATTCAACCCTCAGCTCGGGTACAAACACTCGATTGACTGGCGCCTTGGGACGTCCTCCCTTTGTGGAAGGTGCTATATAAATGTAATTTGTCGTTGTAGTTGTGAGCATTACCTTGAAAACAGCAGTCCAGCTTCATACTGTACTGGAATGGAGATGGTAACTTTATTATCGCCCAAGGTTTCACTCCGCTCTTCACTGTCACTGGAATGTTAAACGCATAATTTATATTAAGCAAAGTTGTCTACAAAATACTCAGTCACTACACTTTACAGTAACTTGTACAAAGTGTTTTGAGATATGCTCCTGACGTGAAAGGTGCTATACTGAATGCACAGGTTGTTATTAGTATTGTCTTATGTGGAGTGTCATTACAGAACAGCTCTGCTGATTTGAACAGTCTGGAGTTTGATCCTATCTGTTACCTCAGCAAAGTTCAATTCATGAAAGGACGGTAAAATTGTAAGGTATTTGGATCCATTTCCAGATTCGGATAACCGTTCAAGACAGTCCTTTTTTTAGATCTAAGATGTTTCTCCAGTTCTTAGGTTAGATTACAGCCTGACAGGCAGTTCATTGTGGGGTGTAATGTTATTTTCGCAGATTTATCGAGTATAACTTCAGAGTTAGTTCACTGTAAATTACACAGCTTATGGGCTTTATTCATGGTTATTCTTCAGTATTGGATCAACGTGTTTGAACTTGTGTTTTAAATTGCAGCTTTGGTCTGCCATTCTAAGATGGTTATTACGTTTCATTAAATTCTGGGTTAAAGCTTGCGATTGTTTGGAACCATTCCCTGGGTTAGTTTACCACAGGGTGAGAGACCACCAGGTTAAAAGAATTTCCCTTATAATCAAACAGGCCGGAGACTTCAGAGATTCCATCAGTTAAATGTTAACTCCCCTCACATCCCTCCCTGGCCTGGATGCCTAGTCAGATGTGCAAGGCACTTTGAGATGGTTTCCTGACGTGAAAGGTGCTATAAAACAACAACAACAAATTACATTTGTATAGCACTTTAAACATCAGGAGGAGTCCTAAGGCGCTGGACAGCCAGGAATCCACACCCGAGCTGGTGTTTGCGATCAGGAGGGATGGAGGGCAGAGAGGGTAGGGGTAGGAGAGTGACCGAAGGCATGGTTGAAGAGGAGGATCTTGAGACAGCTCTTGAAGGAGGGAAGGGAGGGGCCGAGGTATTCTATTGCATTTCTGGCCAGGGAGAACACAGATTTTGAGTCCTAGAATCCTAGAAAATAAATATTAAGCATAAAAAGAGAAGCCTCTCAGGGATACAGTACACTCCTCCTTCATACAGTAGCTATGGCTAAGAGCCTGGTTGAACTGCTCCCTGGTGGTGGGATCCTTAGTTGCCATGTTCTGTTTGCTTGCCATGAGCTGACTGACTGAACCATGGTCCATTTACTGGTCAGTGCAATCTGAAAAATACCTTGCTCATAGGATGTGGGGACACAAATGATCCCATACAATACAAAGCAAAAACTTTTTTTTCGAGGTGGGTGGGGAGAGTGGGTGGGGGAGGAAGTAAATACAGCAGCAACGTACAGCTACTGGAATCTCAACCTTGGAAATGTTCTATTGGTGCATTAGAGGACGCTCTTCTCGGGTTGGAAATAATACTCAATTTTTATTTGGCCGTGAGGAGAGGGTTTGGAGAAGAGGCAGTGTTACTCTGCATTTAACTGTGCTGTGCCTAACCTTGGAGTGCTTGATGCTGACACTGTGTACTCAAAAGAAAAAATGTTCCATTTGCCATTGCTGTCATGTCTCCCAATGAAAAGCAAATCATTAACAAAACAGCAAGTCTCTTAAAAATTCCTAAACGTACCTTGTTGCCTCCAGGTATAAATTGACCTTGCCGTGGAGATGAGAGGTAACAAATTCAAACTTCATCTTAAAGGAACCCTGACAACATGACACAAGGCACAAGATGAATAGCATGGATAGGCTAGGAATTCTGCATAACCTTAAATTTTAAGACAAAATGAACCTAAATGTTAAAACTATACAGAAACTTGGGTCTAGGGAAGATATAAATATGCTCGCCGGTTTCCGATTTTAATCAGTAAAAATAATTGTTTTTTTCCAACTTTCTCCAAACCAAAGAAAACAAATTTGCTTCATTAAACGTTTTGCACTTCAAGGTTATAATAACAATAGGAAATGATGTTGGTGGTTGCCTGTGACCTGGAAGGTGGCCATTTTGCAGTCAAAATGTTCGCTAAAATATGAAAAAAAAGCTAAATAAACATTGATATTATCTGGCAAAAATTTTAAATAATCAAAATTGAAAACCAGCAAACCTACATGTGAACAAATGCACCACTGAACTATGTAGCTGCTATTTATAAATCTGTCATATACTATCATGTTATAGTCGTTGTTTAATGAGAAATATGTACTACAGCTAAGCCTAAGCAGTCATTATGTTCGGAACTGTGTGAGTGTATGTCATTCACAAAATGACATAATTAAATAAATTACAGTAGAATGGTAACTAAGCCAACGTTTTGTGCTGATGTCTTCAGTCTGTATACTTACTTAGTTTGTAGTTGAAAAGATTGAATACAGTTTTTGTAGTGTTACAATGTGGATTTAGAAATTTTTTTTAGTTACATTTTAGTACATGGGGTTTCAGTTACATTTCTCCCTGCAACCTACTGGTGTTTATGCTTGAAAAATCAGGAGAGTTAGAGTCGGAATTTAGTAATGGATCTATTAATATTGAATGCAGGCCGGAGGACAAATGTTCAATGACTTATCAATATGTTATTGCAGCCATATTGTTGCAAGCCGGTGTGTCTGATAACTAAATATTAGATATCTAAAAAAGGAAGTAAACTCCAGGGGAATGGGAAAAACACAAATAAATTAGACTGAAAAGATTGCGCCGTAAAAGGGGTAGAACAGACACTATTGGCTGAGTGGCCTTCTTCAGTGCAGTAAATTACTATGGTTCTAAAGACCTCAAAATGGAATGAAACCTACCTCATCTCCTGGGGTGAGAAAGGGATATCCCACTCTACAGGTGACGTTGTTTGATCTAGACAGCTTGCAATCACCGTTGGGCTTTGAAAAGAATATAAAAGCGTTGTTGAAAACTTCGCAGATTTGTTAACACGATAGTTACATTCATCATTCCTTTGGATGAGATGTTAAACCGACATCCCATCTTCCTTGTTGTTAAAATCCCTTTCTCTGTGATCTCTTACCCCACTCTCTCTCACCCTCCCCACTCAGTAAACTTGAGCCTGCTGCAGGATCCTATCCCTCTGCACCATTGATGGCTGAGCCTTCAGCAATTACCCCTCCTAGAAATCACTCCTTCCTCCCTTCCATCTCAACCTCTCTCTGTCTACCTTTAAATCCCACCTATAAACCTACCTGTTCAACCACACCTACCGTCACCTCCACTCCCCCCTTCATACAATTTCTGTGAAGCTCACTGTCACGTTATCCTATGTGAAATGCACTGCATAAATTACAAGTTGTTGTTGTAATTAAACATACATACTCTTTCCTGCATTCCAATGCATTGGCATCACGCTGACAGAAACACTGCTAACTTTTGGGTAATACAACAACAACAACAAATTACATTTGAATAGAGCCTTTGACTTCAGAAGGACATCTCAGGGCACTGGATAGTCAGGGATTTGGGTCCAAGCTGGAGGTTGGAATCAGGAGGAGTGGAGAGCAGGGAGGATTGGGGTAGGAGGGTGACCGAAGGCGCAGTCAAAGATGAGGGTCTTGGGACAGGTCTTGAAGAAGGAAAGGGAGAGGGTGAGGCAAAGGGACTGTGGGCTGAAATTCCAAAGGGTGGGGGCAGAGAGGTTGAAGGCCCAACCACCGATAATGGGGCAGACAGGGCAGGTAACATGGAGCAGGCTAATTCAGATCTAAGTTGCTCAGCTGTCATGTGTGGAGAATATCAGTTCTACTGCCTTTCCTTAAGAAAATCAAACTCATTCTTAGATAAATCCAGGGTCAAGGCCTCAACTGCCTAGTAACTATTCCACGTGCTAACCTTTGTGTGAAGGGCCTTTAATAACGCTGAACCTGTAATCTATTGTGTTGCTACTTTGGCGTATATCAAAGTAGTTAGAAAAGCTTTGGCATTTTCATCTTCACTGACAAATACAAAGTCAGTACAATTTACACTAAATCTTATGAAGAACTTTGATACATTTCAACAAAGCGATAAGATGCCGTATCAAATGCAACAATTATTATTGTTAATATGATTATTATTTTATGTTGTTTGTCCAATTACGTTTAGACATTCTGTAGATACGAAATGACTCACTGGTATGTCCTTACCCCAACTCCAGTGAAATTGATGTTTTTTGAGTATGTCACCACTATCCTTGGGTTATAAGCATTTTCCTTTTCATTTTTTAATGTAATGGCCAGACTGAATTTTCTCTGATCTTGATGCACGATGTAAGGATTTAAGCTGCAAACATTAATTTCAGGTCAACGTTTTACCCTTGCAGAGTGAAAATAACAAGTGTTAACTATTTGTCTCAGAATTTTAAGCGATAAAAGCATATTACCCGTTAAACATTAAGTCCGTCTCAGCCTTAAGTATCAAGTCATTGATACATTTCTCATCTTCTCCACAATTCTTTCTAAAAAAGACCTGGGGGAAGACATTGGTAATGCAATTTAAAAATGCTGTAGAGAATTAAGCCCACAACCATTGAAGACATAAGCATGGGGGAACTTCATTATAGTCAGCATTCAGCTGCGTTCAACGTTTCACCTATGAGTTGAGCACAAAAAATGGCTGAAAAAAATTTTCAGAAAAAAAATTAAAGCACAAAAAATTAAACCAAGGTCTCGTCTACTTATTTAAGTAAAGGTTAAAGATTCTTCTGTATGATTCAAAAGAAAGGGCGTTTCTCCTGTTGTCTATGTGCAAAATTGACTGGCACGTTTACCTACAAACACAGTCACTGCACTATTCAGTTAGTCCTGTGAAACATTTTATGTTTCAATGGCATGATCAGGCACTGTATCAAATTCAAAGGTTATTATTATAACATTTAAAAGGGATAGAAGTTATATATAAAGTACTTCTCCCTCCCCCGCAGTGCTGTTTTCCATTAAAGCTTCACTTTTAGTGGCTTCTTTTCAAAATCAACAACAGCAATAAATTGTATTTGTATAGCGCCTTTCAGGATTTGGACCCGAGGAGAGGGTTGGGATAACAACTACGAATTACATTTGAAGTAATGTCAGAACAATGTTTTGATAGAATGCCTTGGAAATAACTATTAATGTCTTTAATGTTTTGTCTTTAACAATATTCTGTGAGTTTAAAGCTTTGTGGAATATTTAATTACCAGATCCCTTGCGTTGCTTGGTAGGGAAGCATCTAGGACAGGTCCTTTATCTGGATCTACCATTACAAACTCCACCAGAATCTCCACTGGATTTAGAAAATCTGGCGTTTCCTGAAGAGCAGACATGTAACAAGACATTAACATTTAATAGACCCATGTGCATTAACAACAACAGCAACAAATTACATTTGTATAGCGCCTTTCACGTGAGTTGGACGTTCTAAGGTGCTGGACAGTCAGGGATCTGCATCCGAGCTGGTGGTTGGGATCAAAAGGGGTGGAGAGCCGGGAGGGTAGGGGTAGGAAAGTGACCGAAGGCACGGTCAAAGAGGAGGGTATTGAGACGGCTCTTCATAGAAGCGAGGGAGGGGGCGAGGCCAAGGGATTGTGGGATGGAATTCCAGAGGATGGGGCACAGAGGCTGAAGGTCCATCCACCTTTGGTGGGATGGGCAAGGCGGGGGATGTAAAGCAGGCTGGAGCCCGCTGAGCGGATAGGTTGGTAGCGGGTCACAGAGGTAGTGAGGAGCAAGGCCATGGAGGGCCTTGAAGGTAAGGACCAGGATCTTAAACTGTATACTCTGAGTGATGAGTGAGCTAGTGGAGTCGGGTGAGGATAGAGTCACAGAGCCTGGTGCGGAAGAGAACATGGGCTGTAGAGTTCTGGATGATCTGCAGCCTGTGGAGGGAGGAGTTGGGGAGGCCGACAAGGAGGGAGTTTGTGCAGTCAAGCCTCGATGTGATGAACATGTGAATGAGGGTCTAGGCAGCCTGCATTGAGAAACAGTGACGGAGACGGGCAATGTTGCGGAGGTGGGAAAAGGTGGTGAGGGTCATGCCCAGATGTGGGGGATGAAGGACAATTGAGGATTGAACAGGACGCCAAGGTTCTGTGTTGGCTGCGTGAAGTGTAGAGTGCATCCATGAAGGGCGATGCTGTCAGTGCTCGAGATATGGAGGTGCTGATGGGAGCTAAGGAGGAGGACCTTGTTCTTGTTGACATTCAATTAGAGAAAGTTAGCTTTCATCCAGGACTTTAGCTTTCATCCAGGATGTCCGAGAGGCAGTCTGTGAGGACAGCAGTGGTCCTGGAGTCAATGGTATAGGCGGAGAATTGGTTGTCATCCGTATACATGTGGAACTTGACCCCATGTGTACGGGTGATTTCACCAAGAGGGAGTATGTTGAAAAGGAGAGGACAGAACCCTGAGGGATGTCACACGTCCCATTACATCCCACCTGTGGCTATTCAGCGATTTCTATTGGACAACACTGCTTTAGGCCTAGGTTACACTTTTAAAACAAAACATGCAACTTCTAGGCCCTCGTAGTGGTAGGTCTGATCCTTTAGACTCATTTTCCTGATTTACTTGCCAACATGTAGAAGAGATGTTTTGTACAGTGAGAAGAAAACACAGTGACATTTCTTTGGATCTTCCTTTCATGAGTTTCATTAAATAGTCCCCTGGACACACGCCTTGCAGAGTCTATTGTTGTGTTATATTCAAGAGCTGCAATAAAACAGATAATATGTATTGAATTAATTTGGCATCAAAATTCTGGAATTCCTAAACGCGTTGTTTGATTTCCCTGGTGAGAAATAAAGAATGAATAGGTTTAGGAACACAGGGCAACTTTGTTATAACGTAGTGTCTCTGATCCAAAAAGTTAGACACAGGGTTATAATGGTCCATGAAAACAAATGGCCACCAGTCTCCCTTCCGGGGATCATCGAAGCCGCTTCTCCTCTGACTTCTCCTCCAGCCCCCCGCACCATTTTGTGCGGTGCTCCTTGGGGCTTTCTTCTTCAACCTGTATATGCTCCCTCTTGGTGACATCATCCGCAGACATGGGGTCAACTTCCACATGTGTGTGGATGGCACCCAACTCTATCTCTCTGCCTCCACCCTCGATCCCAGAACCACTGCTGTCCTGACAGACCGCCTGTCAGACATCAAGTCCTGGATGAGGGCCAACTTTCTACAGTTGAACGTCAGCAAGTCTATGGGTTTCCTGATTGGCTCAAGCCAGCGCCTCTGCACCTCATGCACTGGCAGCATCAGCAATACTCCACCTCACCAAGCCAGTCAGGAACCTAGGTGTCTTGTTCAACTCTCCACTGTCCTTTTTCCCTCACATCTGTGCCATGACCCGCTCTGCCTTCCTCACCTCCGCAACATTGCCCAACTCCACCACTGCCTCACTACTCAGACCACCAAAATCCTCATACATGTCTTCATTACATCCAGGCTCAATTATGCCAATGCCCTGCTTGTCGGCCTTCCCAACTCTTCCCTCCACAAACTGCAGATCATCTAGAACTTTGCAGCTCATGTCCTCTCCCGCACCGGACTCTGTGACCTCATCACACCCACTCTTGCTCGGCTCCACTGGCTCCCCATTCCTCAGAGAATGAGTTCAAAATTCTCATCCTCACCTTCAAGGCCCTCATGGTCTTGCCCCTTCCTACCTCTCCGACATGCTAACCTCTTATCAACCTGTCCGCTCCCTCCGCTCAGCAGGCTCTGGCCTGCTCCATGACCTCTGGCTGGACTGACCCACCATCGGCGGTCGGGCCTTCAGCCTCTCTGCCCCCATCCTCTGTAACTCCATTCCACATTCCCTTCACCTCGCTCCCTCCCTTGCCTCCTTCGAGGCATGCCTCGACCCTCCTCTTTGGCCACCATCTAACCCCCACCCTCCCCGTCCTCCACCCTCCCTGATCCCAACCCCCCCACTCCCACGCTCGGGTCCTACTCCCTGACTGTTCAACATCTTGGGACATCCTCCTGATGTGAGAGGCGCTTCCCAAATGTAATTTTGGATTGTATTGTAACGAGTCGCCACTATCGTCACTTCCTACACATAGTGTGCATGCACAGGAAGTGACATCAACAATGTTTCCTGCGTATAGCGAACATGTAGGAAGTGACGTCAATACTGACGATACCTGCCTTTCAACCCAAAAGCTGGCAATTTAGTAATTGGTAGTCAGTGCCGGAAGCCAGGTATACAGCACTTCCTAATTTACAGTGGATCCACACTACAAGCGAACCCGTGCTCAACTGGGGCACATTTTAATGGGGTCATCTTGTACTGCAATTCCTATCTCCTTATGATCAGCTCCTTAAATATAATGTATAGTCTATGCAGTGCCACAGTGAATGTATCTTTTCTATATGGAAAACATTTAGCATGAGGTATCATTCTCAAACAAACTACATGCTACAGAATAAAATAATGAGACAAAGTTGAAGGGTTAATCAACGCAGTAGCCTTCTGCCAGCTGTGAGCTGGAATAAGTATTCGTTCTGTGGTTAGTTCACACGTAAATTGGTCTATTCATAGGCAGTCGGTGACATAATTTTATTTGCCCAGAAAAATGCAGACTGTTTACAGATATTCAATAGATTTGTCAATGTAAGTCCAAAAACCTTGGCTTATCAAGTTGACATTCTGGAATTTCACAGTGCCTTGTGTAGACACATGGGTTGACCACAGGTCATTCAAGACAACTCGTTGAAAGACTCATTTCTATGATTCATTATTATCTGAGCAAATGGAGACCGTTTTGTTAAAAGATATTTTCTCTCACCCATTTTCTTCCTTCTCTCTCCTTAAGGCACCATGCATACTGGGGATACTAAATAATAATAGTAATTTAATAATAATAATAATAATTTGATCACTCAATCCACGACTGGTTATGGGACACTGCTGTTCGCAATTGGCTGCCACGTTTTGCCCACAAGATGCACAGTCAATCCAGTTTACAATAGATTCTGCGAAGCGCTTTGAGACATCTCAATCACATGATAAGATGTTATATCAAATGCAAGGATTATTATTATTATTACTGTTCTCTAGGTGCTGGCAACTCTCTAGTTCTTGTCCAAGTGACTGTTCCTTCTGGATTAGCCTGAATAATGAGTCTTGACAGGTTATTTGATGGATGGCATTACAGCTGAGCCAAATCCTTTACTTACATCAGATGTGAAAGTATTTAAACCTTCCAACAAGTCACTGGATAGTGACCAGAGCATTGATACCATGTAGCTCCCCTACAGTATTCTGACTGTAAGGTTGCCAGAGAGCAGACCACGGTAACTTTGACACCAATGGTCGGGATAGAGTGAGTAAAGAGAGAGCAGTGGACTAGATAACAACAACAACAAATTACATTTGTAAAGCGCCTTTCATGTCGGGAGGTTGTCCCAAGGTGCTGGACAGTGTTTCGGATCCGAGCTGGGGGTCGGGATTGGGGAGGGTGGACTGTCTTGAATGAGGAAAGCGAGGAGACGAGGCAGAGGGACTGCAGGATGGAGTTCCAGAGGGTAGGAGTAGAGTGGCAGAAGGCCCGCCCGCCAATGATGGGGCGGGCAATGCGGGGGAAGGTGAAGCAGGCCGGAGCCTGCTGAGCAGAGGGAGGGTTCAGGATGGTAAGGGGTTAGGAGGTCGCAGAGGTAGGTGGGAGCAAGGCCATATTGGGCTTTAAAGGTGAGGACTAGGATCTTGAACTGTATCCTCTGTGTGATGGGAAGTCAGTGGAGTCGGGCGAGGAAAATAATAATAATAATAATCCTTGCATTTGATATGGCGCTTTTCACGTTTTCTAGACGTCCCAAAGCGCTTCACAGAATATACTTTAAAGTGAATTGACTGCATGTTTGTAGGCGAACGCGGCAGCCAATTGTGCACAGCAGTGTCCCACAAACAGTCATGGATTGAAAATGACCAATTTATTATTGTTTTATTTTTTGGAGGGATTATTATTATGCGTGTGGAGTAAGGAAACTTGCCCAAGGTTTTGCCCTCTGCCTGGAATCGAACCCAGGTGTCTCACTTGCAAAGCAAGTGCTCTAACCACTGAGCTACAGGACTCCACAAACCTCTCTGAGGGTGATAGGGTCATGGCGTCTGGTGCGGGAGGGACACAGGCTGCAGAGTTCTGGATGATCTGCAGGCTATGGAGGGAGGAGTTGGGGAGGCCGACAACCAAGGAGTTTGCATAGTCAACCTCGACATGTATGAGGGTTTCAGCGGTCTGCAGTGTGAGTCAATGGCGGAGCTGGGCAATGTTGCGGAGGTGGGAGAAGACAAGCGGGTCATGTCATGGATGTGGGGTAGAAAGGATAGTTGAGGGTCAAACAAGATGCTAAGGTTCCGGACTGGCTTATTAAGGTGGATTATGCAACCATGGATGATGATGGTGATGAAAGATCTCATCCAGCACTTTCCAGGCAGGGCGAAACCTTGGGCAAGTTTCCTTACTCCACACGCCTAATAATAATCCCTCCAAAACCCAAAACAATAATAAAAATTGGTCATTTTCAATCTACAACTGTTTGTGGGACATTGCTGTGCACAATTGGCTGCCGCGTTTGCCCACAAATATACAGTCAATTCACGTTACAGTGTGCTCTGTGAAGCGCTTTGGGACGTCCTCCCGACGTGAAAAGCGCTATATCAAATGCAAGGATTATTATTATTATTATTATTATTGATGTCTGACAGACATTCTATCAGGACAGTAGTGGTCCTGGAGTCGAGGGTGGAGGCAGAGAGGTAGAGTTGGATGTCATCCACATATATGTGGAAGTTGCCCTGTCTGCGGATAATGTCACCAAGAGGGAGTATATAGATGTTAAAGAGGAGGGAACCAAGTACAGAGCCCAAAGGAACACCGCACTTGCAGGGGCTGGAAGAGAAAACATTTGTGGAGATGAAGTGGAGGCAGTTTGAGAGGTATGATCTGAACCATTCAAGGCCAGAACCGTGAAGGTTGAGGTGAGAGGATAGGCAGTGGATGAGGATAGAGTAGTCAATGGTGTCAAAGCCAGCAGAGAGGTCAAGGAGGATGAAGAGGCAGAGGGAGCCCTGGTTACAGATGTACAGAATGTCATTTGTCACTTTGACCAGGGATGTTTCTGTGCTACGGGCGGCATGGAAACCCGATTGGAGGGGTTCGTGAAGGGAGTGGTGGGAGAGGAAGGAGCAAAGCTGGGAAGCAACAACTCATTCCAGGACCTCGGAGAGGAAAGGGAGGTTGGAGATGGGGCAGTAGTTTGCGAGCAGGAATGGGTCCAGGGAGGGTTTTTTAAGGATAGGAGTGATGACGGCTGTGTTAAATGGGGTGGGAATGGTTCCAGTGGACATGGAGAGATTTATGATGTCTGTGAGTAGAGGGTCAAGGAGGTGGAGCTGGGAGGTAAGGAGAGAGGTAGGGATGGGGTTGAGGGAGCAGGTGGTCGGTTTCATGCAGGTTATAGTGTTGATGAGAGAGGAGTGGGAGCCAGGTTTGAAGGTGTGGAAGGAGGGATGGGTAGGGCCCAGAGTAAGAGGGGGAGATGGGGAGATGGTAGTAGGTGGAAGGGCAGATGCAGCTAAGCGGATCCCCTCAACTTTGGATTCGAGGAAGTCCACCATCGCCTTGCAGTTGGCATGGAGGTGAGGATGGGCGAGGCATGAGAGGATGGGCGGAAGAGCCAGTTGGTGGTGGAGAAGAGGAGTAATGAATGATAATACTGAGTAATTAATGATGTCTTTTTAGTACGTTGTAGTTGTGGTTTGACAATTCCATAAAACCACAGTCAATACTCAAAGCCAATTCTGATCAGAATGTTTCTCATAAAAAGCCAAACAAAACCACAGCAGTAATTTCATAAGCTCATAAGATCTCAGGAGTCAGAGAAACCAATGTTTATCTGTTTAGTATAGCTTTGTAAGCAAGGGATGGATGTGATGATCTATTTTTGTGCCTGATAATATTCTGGGATGTTTATTGGCTAGTCCAGTTATGACTCATGTGGAAACCCATGACTATGCTTAAGAGTATCCAAATCTGACTGAGGTTCCATGCATCCCACCCACACATGGAAATTTCAAAGATAGATTGTTGGAATGGAATGTCCGCCCTCTCCCTGGAGGGACCCATCCTGCTTACCTAATTCTGAAAAGTATTAGGCACAGGTTGGCAGGAGCCAAGGCTTGAGGACCCCAGAGTATGCGTTGATGTTGCTGGAGTCTAACTAGCTAAAACTGCATTACTTGCTATTGATAGCTCTGTCTGGCAAGCTTTTCTGCTGCTTGTCCAGCTAAACCCACCCTACCAATTGGAGCTTTGGCTTGCAGACTTAACAACAGCTGAGTGGGAGGATTCCCTGCATCCAAGAATTGGTCAGTCCTTCCAAGAGCTGCGGATGAGCCAGGCTGACTGTGCTGTAATCATCTGTGCCCTGGAGGAACGCACCCTGCTTATTTAATTCCAGAGAGTATTAGGCACATATCAGTAAGAGCTAATCCTTGGAGATCTCTGTGTGATGGAGTACTGCTGGAGTTTAACCAGCTAAAACCATATAATTTGCCATTGAGAGTACTATTAGGAAAACTTCCCGCCAGCTAGGATCATCAGGACTTTGATTTTTAGAGTTAACAGGAGTCAAGTGGCAAGCCCATCCAAGTCCTGAAGATGAGCTAGGCCAGCTGGTCTATCATCATCAGCCTGGGCCAGGAACCAGATGATTGAGTTCGTCACAAAGAGTTGGCTCGATTCCACATTTATTGCTAAGCACAGCAACATGGAGCCAGGAGGAGAATCCACTTAGCTCCCACCCAAAGAACAACAATTTGCATTTATATAGCACCCTTAATGCCGGTAATATCTCAGGAGTGCTTAAAAGAAAAAATGGGAATTTTGTACATGCAAAAGCTCAGAGGCACTATACCTCTGCAGAATAGGCTTAATAACTAATTGGCTTTATGAAAGGGAATGACACTATTTCTGTGAACTTACCAATCGACTGTTTTGGCTCCTTGTCAGGCTTTAGACGAACTCTGAAGCAAATCTCCATTGTGACACAAACAGTCTGCCTGCCAGATATCTCACAATTCTTATTCTGGATATTAATCTTGTTTGGGCTAAATCGCAACTCAACTGTCACTTGAGCTATGTCACGGGACCTGTCAGAAGATTTAAAATATAATTCACTAAAAGCATACGGTTACTTCCAACAGTCCTTTTATACATCAGTATTTAATATATTCTTAAAAACATTTAATTCTATTCTATGATTTTTTATTTTCTATTGCAGATGAGTTGGTTCCATGAATATCCGAGGACCGGAAAGGCAATGGAAAATGTGCTGATTTCAGTGAATTTAAGGAACGGTTTCAAAAAGTGGCTCCTCTCAAAAAATGATTCTGTTACAATTAAGTACGTCTAAATAAAATGATCATCATTCTTCCACATGTATCAGTTGTTGGTCAGAGCTCTGTGTAAAAAAACACATGGGGTAACAGGACTTTGTGAACATCCTGTGGCTCCAGGTGAAATTTCTTTCCAATAAGGGAGTGAAATTGAGTTTTTGAATGAAGCGCCAATTTCTACCCACAGAATTCCCAGTCCCTACATTTTAGAGTAAATCCTTTGAAGCTTTTTTTACAGTAAAGTGAAGCTTACTTTGAGACATCCTCCTGATGGGAAAGGCGTGACATCAAATGCAAGGAATATTATTATTACATTATTGATTACAAAAAAAACTAGAGCACAAGATCTTACAATAATGAAATTCCATTGCTTTGGTAATTCATCAGTGCTGCACGGAGTTAAAAAAAAAGCCAGACTGCAACAGTGGGATCAATAGAGTACAGGATATACAGTACTGTAGTTACAATGTACACATGATACCAACCAGAAGAGGGCAGCACCACCCAGCGCTCCCACAGTAACATCCACCAGACCGTCATTGTTCAAATCCATCTGTCCGTCAATAGATTGGCCAAAATACTTGAGGTCAACCTCTGGCGCTGACGTGGAGATGTACTATTAAGAAAAGGCATTTGATTAACTGAATCTGTCAAGGCAATGTACAAAAGATCCAAAGATTTTTTACTTTGCTTTCTTCGTTTTGTGATCGCAATATCCCATTTTTTGGTTATCTGTACGATTAAGAAGTAACCTATGTACTGTTGCTATGTGCCTATAGTGGGGGCAGAGTTTCATAACAGAATGAATGTGATAAATGCACAAACCTCGCATTCTCATTCAATGCTGGGACAGAGACTCTAAGTTTGTGTGTTCTGCAGGAGCCCAGGCTACACAATAGCACCTGGTGGCTAAATTCAGAGCTTCGAAAAAATGTTCATGAAGCAAGCATTGGCTGTATATATCACTGGGTCACATACCACACACATTGTCAAAACCGGGTCACTCGCAGTCATCTGTTTGCACAATCACATGCAAAGCCCTGGAGTTATATGGCTATAAAATTTCCAGTAGGAATTAACTGTGTCCAGAATCTGCTCTGCAGATGGAGAATCTTCTTCACATTCCCAGCACTGACGATGGCTCTACTTCAGCCGCTGGCTATTTCTGGTGGAATTCTCTTGTAATTAAATATGGGTTGGTTTCCAGATCTTTAATGAGACACGGCATCTTAGATCTTTCCTTAATAATTGGTCCTTTCTCTGCTTCCCAGCGCCTTGGGACGTTCTCCCGACGTGAAAGGCGCTATACAAATGTAATCTTGTTGTTGTTGTTTTAGGTCCCCAGCATCACACACCATTCCCTGACCAGGAAATGTCAATTTGGGCTGTACGTGGTCATCAGTATTACTGCTAAATGTATTGCATGGCCTCTGGCCATCCATCTCTTAAGCCCACTGCTAACCACCGTTGGGAGCTTGGGCTGGTTGGACTTTTTCTTCAGTGTTCTCTTTGGGATGAAAATTACGATTAAAGATGATTATTACCGCTGATAAATATCACATCACAAAAAATTCTGCCACATTCAAAGCTCATATGTGCAGCCAGCCCACTCACTTCTGCTTGCCAGATGCTGTCTGTACTAAAATGGCCGACTTTTGGATCATTAGGTCATTGCCAATGTCACTTCCATTATTTGCACATGTGCAGCAAACCTGAAGTGCTGTTGATGGTGACCTGATAACCTTTTTTGTTTTAACTCAGGATCTAGCCAGCACACAGGAAGCACAGTGAAACATAGATCAGGATTTTATGGATCCCAAACACTGCATTATATTGAGGCTCTGCTGTGCTAAAAGTTCCTCAATTATATATGGTTTCCATTTGTCTAGCATGGAGTCCCACTCTGTCTCTAGAGGACCATACTCTGCTTTACCTAGTCCTGATTAGAAGATCATTTGCCTTCTTTTATCTTGCACCACCAACACCTCTGATCTCATCACCTCCTGTCCTCCACCTAAGCTTTTCCTTTGTCTTTCTTTCCGCACCCACTTCTCTACTTGTCCTTATAATCTGCTCCCTTCCAACATCCCCCAATTCTGACGAAAGGTCATCGACCTGAAACGTTAGCTCACTTTCCTCTCTCCATAGATGCTGCCTACACGCTGAGTGTGTGTTCCCAGCAACTTCTGTTTTTTTTCCTGATTAGAAGATGCTGACTGACATAGTTGTGAGTTTCCATTGTTTGGGATTTTAAGGCAGCTTCCAACATATACAGCGTCTCTTATTCCTATGCGGAGACAAACCTGTGAGTACTGTTTGTTTATGATTGTGCCCTTTCCGTGGAAGACATAGGCAGCCCCTTGGTGGTTGTTCTCCAGTGGTGCTCCGATCACTATGTCATTATAACCGTCAAGGTTTAGGTCAGAGACCCAGGCTATGGCCATGCCGAACCTGGAGCCGCAGGGTTCCCTGATCGAATTAGAGCATTCCTGCTTTTTGACTTTCTCCTATTAGAAAAAAAATTGAAAACACAGGCATGCATCAATACCTCTTCCTTCTGTGACTAAGCACCTAAAATGTTATACGCTTTCGTTACTTTTTCAGTTCTTTTTGCCCCCGTACAATAATACAATACAATTGACATTTATATAGCATTTGGAAGGATGTCTCAAAGTGCTTAACATTATTGGCTGGGTGCCCATGCTGGGGGTGGGAGCCTAAGTGGTGAAGAGGCCAATAGAAGAAATGCAATGGAATCTTACTTCTTACTAAAATTTATAAAGGTGCAAGAAAAAACTTGCTCAATGGAAACTCAATCAGTAAATCAGATGATCCGTACCCTAACCCGAACCCTAGCCCAAAATGATACTGATTCCTCCTGCACAAATAAGGGGGATTCAGCCTGAACATATGGCAGCATATTCAAGAAGTGGCTAGGATTAGGTTTAGGGTACGTATCACCCATCTCTCAGTAAAACAGAAATCCTTCTGATCAGTTTTTGGTTTCAGAAAGCAGTTTTTAACATTTTTTTTAGATCATTTCTAAAGTACATGATTTTAAATGTGGGTGATGTGATTTGGGTTGTGTGTGGTTATTGGTATTACTGCTAAATGTGTTTATTCATCAACATAAAATATGTATTATTATATATCACAGCAACACAGGGCATTGATGCTCAACTTTGGAAGCATAAAGGAGTTTAAAGATGGAAAATTGAATGTGTATTTCAAGGCTATTTTAGAATCAAAGTCGAGTAATTCTTACATCTTTCCTTACCTTACTGAACTTGTCTGTACTGAGGTCAAATGCAGACTGGCAACTGCATTGCTGCTTAATTGGCTCAAGGACCATCTCGTATTGAAACTTATCCTAAGTAAAAAAATTCATATGCATTAAGAAGCAGGAGTATGATAGTCACTTATTTTAGATTCAATTTATTTTAAGATTTCATCAATTTTTGTTATCTTGTCACCATGTGTGGTTGTTAAGGAAATGGATGGTAAGGGAAAGCTATTCCTGATATATTTGATCAGATTCTGAAAGCTTTATCTCTCAGTTTACCGCTTTCATGATTATTTCCTGGTTGTCTAGCCTTCTTATATTCCCCATTGCCTTCAAACGTACAGCAATAACGTTAACCAAAGAGGATGTGTCATTGTTAACACATTAAATAGGTTATTATGACTTAAAATTAAAGGAAGCTATAAATAATAATCTTTACAACAACAAATTATTGCACTTGTATAGTGTCTTTCACGTCAGGATAACGGCCCAAAACACTTACATTTATATAATGACTTTCATGTCGGGAAGAAGTCTCAAAGTGCACAACATAGTGTGCCTGAGCTGGGGATTGGGATCCTGGGGAATGGGGGAGAAAGGTGACTGAAAGTGGGTTGAAAAGATTGTAAGGTAGGTTTTGCGGCTGGGGAAGGTTGTGTAAGATGAATAGAGTTGTTGTTGTTGATTTCCATTTCTGATCAATTATGTTTTGTAAAGGGCTTTGAGACATTTATTTTATCGTGATAGGTAACCTTAATAAAATGAAACATTGCTGCAGACAGACGTAATGTTGGAGTCACATTGAGTTTGTCATTATTCAGAATAATTCTGTCAAACAAGAATAAGACAATTATTTTCCAACATCCCTAGATGTTCTTACTGTAGAGTGGTGCGGAGGGCAGGGGGTTAATTTTATGGGCCACTGGCACCAATATTGGGTGAAAAGGGAGCTATTCCATAGAGATGGGCTCCACCTAAATGGGCTGGGACCAATGTCCTGGCAAAACAAATAAATAGGGAGGTAGGCAGAGCTTTAAACTAAGGGGGTTGGGGGGGAGGGAAGGTTACAGTTACAGTTAGAAGTAAAAAAGCAAAACTAAGAACGATGAAAGTGGCAGAGCAGATTATCGAGGGAGATAAACAGAGTATGTCAAGGAGGGACAAGAAGCTCAGAGGGCATTAGCAAGTAGAGAAAATAGCAAGAAGTCAAAACTAAAGGCGCTATATTTGAATGCACAAAGCATTCGTAATAAGATAGACAAATTAATGGCACAAATAAAAACAAATGGGTATGATCTAGTAGCCGTTATTGAGATGTGATTACAGGGAGATCAAGGGTGGGAGCTAAATATTCTGGGGTATTTGGCATATAGGAAAGATAGGCAATGTGGAAAACAAGGTGGGGGTAGCCCTGCTAATAATGGATGGGTTAAAAACAGTAGAGAGGAAAGATTTTAAATCAGAAAATCAAGATGTAGAGTCAGTATGGGTGGCATTACGAAATAACAAGGGCAGAAAACACTAGTCGAAGTAAGTTATAGACCCCCGAACAGCAGTCACAGTGTTGCGCAGAGTATTAACCAGAAAATGAGAGGAGCATGTAGCAAAGAAATACACTAATAGTGGGTGATTTTAATCTTCATATAGATTGGGAAAACCAATTAGCAAAAGTAAGTTAGAGGAGGAGTTTATAGAATACATTAGAGATAGTTTTCTAGAACAATATGCTGAGGAACCAACCAGGGAACAGGCTATCCTAGATCTTGTTTTGTGTAATGAAATAGGACTAATCAGTAATCTGGAAGTTAAAGCTCCTCTTGGGCAGAGTGACCATAACATGATGGAATTTAGCATTAAGTTAGAGAGTGATGTAGTTAAGTCCGAACCAAAGTTCCTAAATTTAAATAGAGCCAACTTTGCAGGTATGAGAGAGGATTTAGCTAAAATGGACTGGGAAATTAAAGGATATGATGGTAGATCAGCAATAGAAAACCATTAAAGATACAGTACATAATTCCCAGAGATCACATATTCCCTTGAGGAATAAAAATACCACAGGTAAAGTGGTTCAACCATGGCTAACTAGAGCAGTTAGTGAAAGTATAAAATTAAAAGAAGAGACCTATAATACTGCCAAAAAGAGCAGTAAACCCAAGGATTGGGAGGGCTTCAGAGACCAACAAAGAAAAACTAAGAAACTGATTAGGAGGGAGAAAATAGATTACGAGGGCAAACTAGCTAGGAACATAAAGACAGATTGCAAGAGTTTTTACAAATATGTAAAGAGGAAAAGTCTACCAAAGATGAATGTGGATTCATTACAGGCAGAGACAGGAAGAATTATAATGGGGGACAAAGATATGGCAGGGTCATTAAACAAATAGTTTACTTCTGTCTTCACGTTAGAAGACACTCAAAACTTACCAAAAATAGAGGGGAACCAAGAAGCTAATGTTAGTGAGCAACTTAGGGAAATTAACAACAGTAAAGAATTAGTACTAGGGAAACTATTGGGATTGAAAAATTACAAATCCCCTGGACCTCATGGCCTGCATCCTAGGGTTTTAAAAGAGGTGGCTGCTGAGATAGTGGATGCCTTGTTTTTGATCTTCCAAAATTCTTTGGATGCTGGAATGGTTCCCATTGATTGGAAGATCGCAAACGTACCACTATTTAAGAAGGGGTGGGAGAGAGAAGATGGGGAACTATAGACCAGTCAGTCTGACATTGACGGTTGGGAAAATTCTAGAATCCTTAATTAGGGACGGCATAGTGGGGTACTTAGAAGGCCATAACATGATTAGTTTTTTGAGGATGTAACTAGCAGGTTAGATAGGGGGTAACCAGTAGATGTAGTATATTTAGATTTTCAGAAGGCATTCGAGAAGGTGCTACGTAAAAAGCTGCTACACAAGATTAGGGCCCATGGAATTAAAGGCAATATATTAGCATGGATCGAAGAGTGACTAACTGGAAGAAAACAGAGAGTAGGGATAAACGGATCCTTCTCAGATTGGCAAGATGTGACTAGTGGAGTGCCACAAGGATCAGTGCTTGGGCCTCAACTATTTATGATCTATATCAATGATCTAGACAAGGACATAGAACTTAAAATATCTAAATTTGCGGATGATGCTAAGCTAGGTGGGAAAGTAAGCTCTGAGGATGACACAAAATGATTGCAAAGGGATTTAGATAGGCTAGGTGAGTGGGCAAGAAGGTGGCAGATGGAATATAATATGGGGAAGTGTGAAGTTATTCACCTAGGTAGTAAAAACAGATTATTTTCGGGAGGGGGAGAGACTAGATAGTGTTAGTGTTCAGAGGGATTTGGATGTCCTTGTACACCAGTCACAAAAGGTTAGTATGCAGGTACAGCAAGCAACAAGGAAGGCTAATGGCATGTTGGCGTTTATTGCAAAAGAATTAGAATATAAGAGTAGGGAAGTCTTGCTGCAATTGTATAGGGCCTTGGTGAAACCAAACCTAGAATATTGTGTGCAGTTTTGGTCTCCTTATTTAAGAAATGACATACTCGCCTTACAGGTCTGCAGTGTAGATTCACTAGGTTAGTTCCTAGGATGAGGGGGTTGACCTATGAGGATAGGTTGAATAAACTAGGCCTATATTCTCTAGAATATAGAAGAATTAGGGGTGGTCGTATTAGAAACATATAAGATTCTTATGGGGCTTGACAGAGTAGACAGTGTGAGACTGTTTCCCCTGGTAGGAGAATCTATAGCTAGGGGTCACAGTCTTAAGGTTAAGGGTCAGCCTTTTCGAATAGAGTTGAGGAAACACTTCTTCACTCAGAGGGTAGTGAATTTATGGAATTCTCTAACCCAGAAGGCTGTAGATGCTCAGTCCTTGAACATATTCAAGACTGAAACTGATAGATTTCGAAAGAATAGAGGGATTAAGGGATATAGGGATAAAGGGGCAGATTGAGTTACGTTAGAAGATCAGCCATGATCTTATTGAATAGCGGGGCAGGCTCGAGGGGCCGAATGGCCCACTCCTGGTCCTAATTCCTATGTTCCTATGTATATAAGGACATATAGGGATGGAGTTCCTAAGAACACTCAATAACCATCATATATATTTATCACCTTTTTTAGAATGTACACGTAAACTCTTCCTTGCTCTTCTTTATCTGTTCCCATATACATAGGGGCTCCAACCAGAAGAACATCAGTTATTGAATCTTGATTGATGTCAACAGAACACACGGAGCTTCCAAAGTATGAGCCAATCTGTGAACAGAGAAACGGTGCTTAGTTGGTTCAATAACTCCATTTCAGCTAGTATTTGCGGTGCTGTGCTAAATTGGCCCAAGGAAAGACATGCAAAATTTATTAGCAATACTGGCAACGAAAGGAAATGTAAACATTTAAGTGAATTTAGTGAATGCATTTTATTCACTGTGCTGTGCACTGCTTCTGCTTCGCAAATAAGGTTTGTTGCAGATAGAAGCTTGGGACCCAGGCCATGACTGGGAACCATTGTAGAGGGTATTACCATACCCTGGCCTTTTTAAGCAATACTAATAGAAGCTATAATAGAATCTATAATAATGATCCTTGCAATTGATAGTAGCATCTTATCAGAGCTATGAGATGTCTCAGAGGACTTCGCTGGATGTACTGTACAATGGTGTGACTATATTTTGGGATGAATCTGTGATGTAAACGAGAATACTAATGGATCACAAGATTGGATGAAGAAGGTCCTTTCTTCCAGAACACCCACCATACAGTTCCTCATCACGGCATTAAACTGCTTTTAAAATGAGTCTCGTGTCTGGCTTCAACCACCTTTCCTGGCAACCTATACCAGTTGCTAATTTAATGACTTTCCGAGTAAAGAAAAATGTTCTCGTATCTGTCCTGAAATTGCCCTTTACATCTCTAAACCTATGTCCTCTTATAACTCCTTGTAGCATGATAGCATTGTGGCTAAAACTTACATTAATGGTGTAGGAAGTGCATTACAGTGCCCACATAATGAATTATAATGAGGCTTATTTATTTACTCTTTCAATTTTGATGCTTATCATGTAAGATTTGCAAAAGAATTAGTAAATAACAAATCCTGAATGTGTTGTTAAAACTAAAAATTAAAAATTCTCCCTTGCCACCTTCAAGGCACATCTCAAGACCCTCTTCTTTGACCGCACTACCCCCACGCTCCCTGCTCTCCACTGCTCCTGGTTTCAACCTCCAGCTCGGGTCCAAATCCCTGACTGTCCAATGCCTTGCGATGTCCTCCCGATGTGAATGGCGGTATACAAATGTAATTTGTTGGTGTTGTAGTCCAGAACCCTGCTCAGAAACAGACTTCATTGATATAGAAACTGTGATCAGTCATTAGGGACAGCCTCTGCACTTCCGGAATTTGCTAATCATCAATTCTTATAAAGATCTTCGACTCATGTGGAAAATGTCACCACAACTTTGAACGGAAAATGACAACCAAAAAAATCACAATTCTATTAGTGAAATAAGTCAGATTTACCTGCTCTCCTTTCAGGGTCTGTATAATGCTTGTGCGCTTTCCTTTTGAGGTATAAATAACAACTTGTCCAGTGTGATTGTATCGAGGCTGTCCAGCAACATACCACATAACTCCAGCCACTGCGACAGAGCTTACAGAGTAACCTGAAGGTTGTCGATTAAAAAAAAATTAAATGAATAATAATAAAAATAATAATCCTTGCATTTGATATAGCATCTTATCACATCTCAAAGCGCTTCACAGAATATACTGTAAAGTGAATTGATTGCATTTTTTGTGGGCGAAACGCAGCAGCCAATTGCACACAGCAGTGTCCCACAAATAGTCGTGGATTACATAATTAGAGTTGAAGAGTTGTATTTGCAGAGAGACAGTGGGGTGTAAAATGTAACAATTTCAAAAGGGATTTCTAAATCAAGACTCCTAGTCACAAGTGGGAATTCTTTCTTGTAACTGGAGATGGTTCATGTGGGTTTACGGGAACACCACTCTGAAAGCAGATCGCCTGTTCTGCGGATTTGTAGTATTAATCGTACATCTGCAAGGTTACTCTGTTGCATTATGTGAATCTGTTTTTCATCATGGCATTAGAAAAGTTGGAAAATAATCTAAACTGTTATGGTAAAATTAACTCATATTGTTTTTTTTACGATTTGCATTTATATAGCACCTTTCAAGACGGGAAGATGGCTCAAGCATTTCAAATATCTGAGCTATGGGGTTGGGAGCTGAAAATCAGTTGAAAAAATAGGCCTTGAGGCAGGTTTTGAAGACAGGGAGGGAGCAAGACGGAGGGATGAACTTCCAGAGAGTTGGGGTACAATGTCTGAAAGCTTGCAGAATAGATGGGGCATGTGAAGCAGGCTGATGATTCCGTTGAGTTAGGACGGGTGTGTGATGGGTTCGTGGAGCCTGGTGATGGATTTGTGGAGTCTGGTGAGGGAGAGAAAATGGGCTGCAGAGTTCTGGATGGGTTTGATATCACTTTGAATTGCTATTAAGCCGGTTTACTATAATCTGGCAAGCGTACAAGCAAAATAGTTTCTTTAATCAGATGTTTCATTGAGATTTCATTTCAATTATTCCTTGCAATGAAAAAAATCAGCTGGAACCAGGAAAATATTTAAAAATGAGAGGCTTGGAATAATTCAATTTGTTATAACAAGGTTCAATTGAATAATAACTGGCAATAAGTTTCCCAGCCAAACAAGTTTCCAAGCCAAATAAATCCCATTGGAATATTCCCAGTCTCCAATCTTAATTTCATCATCCAAAATCAGGCTCATTTTAAACAAATGGGTTGTCACATGATCCATCGTAATTTTTTTCAACCTAAGTTTCCAATAAAAGCACTTAGGTAAGTGAATGAGCTTGACTTTCACTCTGATACAAAGTTTTTTTTTACTGCTCGAAATGTCTAATTTACAAAAATATGGGCTTTTCAATATATCTTTATGTTTTAGAAAACCCACAAGAATTGCACATTGAATAGAAAAAAGGCTATTCTGTTTAGATTACTAAAACTATTTCACAGAGAAGGCAAAACTTCCCCTCTTGTGTTTTCCGTCCCAACAACTCCTGGGTGAAAGTTCTGCATTCATACTTTTGACATAGAATAATAATGAAACAAATTATTGTTTCCCTCACCACAGACCATTCCCTTTCCCCTCCCTCCAAACGCTAGGCATTTCATCTCAGTTTGCAGTTAGCACTGTATCGTCCAATACCAAACAACAACAGCAACAACTTGCATTTATATATAATAATAATAATAATCCTTGCATTTGATATAGCGCTTTTCACGTCGGGAGGACGTCCCAAAGCGTTTCACAGAACACACTGCAAAGTGAATTGACTGTATATTTGTGGGCGAACGCGGCAGCCAATTGCGCACAGCAATGTCCCACAAACAGTCATAGATTGAAAATGACCAATTTTATTATTGCTTTTGGTTTTGGAGGGATTATTATGAGGCGTGTGGAGTAAGGAAACTTGCCCAAGGTTTCGCCCTGCCTGGAATTGAACTCAGGTCTCTCGCTTGCAAAGCGAGTGCTCTAACCACTGAGCTACAGGACTCCACACGCCTTCATGCCAGTACCCTTCATATAGCACCCTTCATGCCAGACGGCATCTCAGAGCACTTAACCAGAGGCTAAAGCCCTCTGGTTACCCTCTGCTACCCCACCTAAGTGACTACTGTTCATGTGTAAGCCCTGGCAGTGAGTGCTGACTGGACATTTGACTCTAGTAATCGGGTGGTTTTGCTTTATTATTGTTGGAAGTCAAAAATATCGATGCAGAACTTTTTCCAGGAGTGGGTGGGATAGAGAAAACAAGAGGGGAGGTTTTCCCTTCTCTGTGAAATAGGTTTGATGAGGCGAACACAATCACCTTTCACCAGAGGGCAACTGGAATCTGAGCTTGAATTCTTGACTTGCTGCTACCCACATGTAATAGATGCACAAGGACCAGGAGCAGGAATCCTGGCTGGTTTTCCCCTCCCTAACCCTAGGAAGGCCAGGGCCAATTTAGCTTCCCAGCTGAGAGCAGCAAACTCAGCATGGACCAGGATTAGAACCAGGGAGTTCCTGGTTTGTAAACTGCAGCTCTATCCACTGGATCATCTGTGCTACCCTCCTCTTCATTATCAGCTTCTGTCCTTCACTTTTGCTCTTGTGATCAGCCTAAAATAGGTTGAGTACATTTCCCTCGTTGATGCCTTTTATCATTCTTAAAGAACTCAGTTCAATGCTTTTCTTACCCAAATATCCAGCCAAAGATTCATTATGTTTGTCTGACTTATTGAGAAATTCCTCGCTGTCAGGAATAACCACATCATTGTTGTTCAGCATAAGGACTGTTCCATTCCATTCGTCAGCTCCAACTGCTCCAAGCATGATGCTGTCCTGGTGGTTAGATGAGGAAATCATATGAGAAAGTTATATGACACAGAACACTTCACAGAATGACACAGAATCAGCAGTACTGAAACAGGCCATTTGGCCCATCTGGTACGTTCCAGTTTTTATGCTCCACATGAGCCTTCACCCATCCTATTCTCTATCCTTCCTGCACCCTTCTATTGCCTTTATCTCATCTATGCATTAATCCTTTCTAGGATCTTTGATAAGAAACAGCTAGATGCTTGATGTCATGTGAAGTTGGTAAGTTTGTACAGGAGAAGGGGTTTTCTCATCTGACTCTCCTATGATCTTGTGACCTTTCTTCTGCATTGAAAAAAAGGGTGCTCCATCTAATGATAGTTATTCAATGTAGAATCATAGAAATTTACTATGCAGGAGACCATTTGGCCCACTGAGTCTGCATCGGCTCTTAGAGCAAGCTATTCATTCAATCCCACTTGCCAGTCTCCCTTCAAGCATTTTTTTCTGTACATGTATCTCTCTACTTCCCTCTTGAAAGAGAAAACAGACTGTGTGTCTACCACTTTACTTGGCATGGCATTCCACATCATAACAACTCTTTGTGTGAAAACATTTCTTCCAAGTTCTCCTTTTGCTCTACTTTTGACAATCACAAGGCTCACCCACAAAAATATATACATCACTATACAGTGAATCCCGTGAAGTGATTTTAGATGTCTTCCTGACTTGAAAGGCGTCATATCAAATGTAACTATTATTATTATAAATATTATTATCTATGTCCTCTAGTCACTGACTACCCTACCAAAGTATCAATGTTCCTCAAAGAACATAGGGAATACTAAAACACCACAAAGTTTCCCCTAATATTCCTTAATTAAGGCATTCGAGTGGGAACTCTCAATTACTTCCAACAGCTGGAAGTGCACCACAAAACATTCTAACCTATATGAACTTCATAACAGTAGATCACACAGGATTGAAGCTCTCACAAGTTATTATGACATATTCCAGATTCCTTAATGAGGAATTCCATTGGAATTCGTTACGTATTAGACCTCAAAATCTCAGCAACAGAGCTGATGTAGTGAGTCTGTAGCACTTTATCTTGGGGTTAATTACTTTGACAGAGACTGAATCTAATCTTGCGGAGCAGAATGAGAGTGAGAACACATGAAGGAAAGGAAGAAAGAAAAGTCACAATAAACAATGACCAAGAGAGCGAGAGGTAAGAGAGAGAATGTTTATTGAAATTAAACTTCACAAAGTTTCCAAAGAGACTTGCAGTATCTTACCTTGGTATAATGTGCACTGAATCCAACCTGTGACATTTCCATCTTGAAGGAGGTTGCTTCTTTGTCAGGAGTTGCTAATAAATTAGAAGCTGTTGTTAGCGAAAGCCAAGACATGACTCAGACTGTAAGTAATTCTACTACATATAAATCCAAGCTGTTCTCCCATCCATGTTTTATTAATATGAATGGTAAAATAATATTATGATGAATAATCTGCACCAATTACCATCTATATCAACATACATTATTAACACTTACAGATCTACCTGACAGATTACCCATCTAATTGAGTGAACTGCTTTGTTTTATTATAGTTATATTATAGTTATATTATAGTTAGTTTTGTTTTATTATAATCTACAAATTATCCTTGGAGTGGAAACTAATCTAACTATCTCTGGACTACTGATTTATAAATATATCAGATCCAATTATTCATAACGGTTAACTTTGAACTGTCCCCTTAACTGTACTGTCCTCAGTTAAAGTTGGTTTTGCTGAATTGTCAATGAAATGCTGAGATCCATGTGATGGTATGTAAAAAAGTACATAAGTTTCTACAATAATACTAACCCTTGCATTTTGATATTATCACCTTATCAACCAGTGTGTGCTAGGGGAGTGGAGGTCCTGTTGTTTCAATGAGACATAAAACCAGTTTGTTCAAGTGGACATAATAGATCCCATGTTCCCATAGAACAATGAATTCCCTAAATAAAATTGGTCATTCACTTCAAAGATGTTTGTGGGTCATTTCTAGGTGCAAATTGTTTTCCACAAAACACACAGCCATGGTATTGAATGTTTCTGTCCCAATAGTGGAATTAATGTGCCCTTAAGCATGTTATTAACAACCAATTCATTGGCAATGACATGATTAAGGCCACCAGTAATTCCTTCTGTACACATACATTCACACCTGGTTTGCTCACAGCACATAATATACCTCAAGTAGTCAGTCATCGGAGTCTGGATTTTTGACTGGCTAGAACTCTCAAACTGGCTTTCAAAAGAATTTACTGAAAGTAAAAGCTATCAGTGACAAAATGAATGCATTAAGAAAGGTCAACTAACACCAGTGAACAAATACTTGAGTGAAAAATCATATCCCAAATATCAAGTTAGCTGTAGTAAACCCGTTGTTATAGGTTGATAGACCTGACTCAAGATCTAAACAAAACACAAAATACTGCAGATGCTGAAAATCTGAAGCAAAAACAGAGCGAGCTGGGAAAACTCAGCAGGTCAGGCAGCATCTATGGAGAAAGGAAAGTGAGTCAACGTTTCAGGTCTACGACCCTTCAGCAGAACGTTCTGTTTTCACTTGTAACTCAAGATCTACCTCTTTGTCCACACTTTCGGTCATCTTTCCCTCCCAATCCCCCTCAACTCCCATCCCCAGCCAGAACTATTTAGCGCTTTTACGTCCTGGTGTCGTGAAAGGCCCTACACCAATTGTAAGGATTATTCTTGTTATATACACAATAACTTGCATTTATATAATGCTTTTCCTCTGCCCCCACCCTCTGGAATTCCATCCCGCAGGCCCTCTGCCTTGTCCTCTCCCTTGCCTTCTTCACGACTCATCTCAAGATCCTCCTCTTCGACCATGCCTTCGATCACCCTTCCCTCCGTGCCCTCCACTCTCTCTGATTCCGACCCTTGGGTCCAAAACACTGACTGTCCAGCACCTTGGGATGTCCTCTCAACGTGAAAAGCGCTATACAAATGAAATTTTATTGTTGCATAGAGAGAAGATGCAAGGTATTGGGATTTAAAGAGGAAGCTCCAGACAGCATAGGTAAAGGGCCTGAAAGAAGTCAGGGAATGTGAAGCAGGCCTGAATTGACAAAGTGAAGGGAATGGGCAGTGAATGGGGCTGTAGGACAACGCAGAGTTAGGGTTGCGGAGGCATCTAAAATATACATGTAATCATCTTGAAATGTAGAAAATGACATCAGTGTAAGATAATATCGTACAGTTTTGGCCTGCAACTGGAATACATTGAACATTCTTGATAAGACTAGTAGTTTCCTGTTCAATCCCTAAGGAACTCAATTTCTGTAGAGTTCAAGCAATGTAGAAACCAGATAAACGTACAGCGCACAGAGCAATAAGACTGTTTACTGAAGGTGTTCCTGAACTCTATGAATTCCAAAATCCTTCTCAGAAAAGTTCATTCCATTGAATAGTAGATTGAGGGAATGGTTGGCATGGCTCTGTTATTTTTTTTAGTCCAAAAAGGAACAATAGAATTGTCATCAAATGCAATTTTTTCTGATGTAAGATTAAACTTATCTTTATGTTCATGTATTTGCTTTCTGTATTTAAGGAATTATCTTGTTCCGGAAACTGAATTAGTTATCACAGATACAATCAAAACTTTTCCTCCGCACATGAAATGAAGGAAGTTCCAAAGGATGCTGGTAAAATTACGCCTAAAACACTCAGCATTGGAATTAGAAATCATATATTAGTAGAAAGAAATATTCAATCAGTATTTTTGGCAAGATAATGGAATGAGAAAGTGTAGAAATATTTAAAAACAAACTAATAATGTGATGATGAATGGTGATATGATGATTATCACTGGTAATTACTGTACCCACCAAAAATTCCAATCAAACCAGTCAAGAACGCACTGTCCTTCCTGCCTAAACCTCCCATCGACAGGCGAGCTTTCAGCCACTGAGTCTCCAATCTCTGGAATTCTATCCCTGGAGTCCCTCCAACTTGCTCCCTCCCTTTTTTCAAAATAAGTCTCAAAACATAACTCTTTTAACGCACTTTCAGGCATCTTTCCCCTCCCCATCCCTTTGAACTCCCAACCCCCGCTCAGGTGCCCAGCCAGCAGTGTTGAGCGCTTTGAGGCATTCTGCTGCTCAAAACACTATATAAACGTACAACCATTGTGAACAGTATTATGTGGGCAAAGCGGGTTCACCTCCAGTGTTAATCATTGACAGGGTGTTAATCACTGACTGATCATTTTTAATTAACACATTTGTTAATTAGTGCACATCACAGTTTGCAGCCGATGATAAAAACATTTTTTGAATAAGTTTGCTCATGCTCTTCAGATTTATAATTAATCAGCATTATAACTTCCTAAAAAGGGAAGCTTGATAAAGGTGGGGAAGTGGGAGATACGTTTGTTAGTAGAGGTAACTGGGCAAATAGATTTTAAATTTTTAAAAAAATATATATAAACTTTGTACAACTCAATATTGATAACATTACTATTAAAATTGGAACATTAAAATAAGACATTATATATTATCAAAATGAATGGTTATAATTATACTTGTTTCTGATACAGGATCAGTTTTCTTCAAATATCTTTCTTATCCACGTTATTGGTATAATGTGCTGCTGTTTGCTCAAAGAGTTTCGCCCACAAAATGTACAGTCAAATTCACTTACAGTACATTCTGTGAAACGCTTTGAGACATCTCAATGACGTGATAGGTGGCTATATCATATGCAAAGATTGTTATCATTATTATCCAGGGCAAATTCAAGATATTAGCAAAGAACCTGTTTCTCAGGCCATGCAGGGGCTATCTAGCTGGACTTGTGTTTAGCCTGAGTAGGTCCAATGTAATCTGTTCTCAATGAAGTAATATATAACAGAGGTTGCTGTTATTCATACCGTATAAGGCAATGCATAACAAGAATGTACTGACTTATTTATTAATCTCTGTCAGAGCTGTTGCAAATGTACTGACTGTTATTTATTGATCACTGTCAGAGCTGTTACAAATATACATCAGAAGAACAAAAGAGGAGCTCACAAGTATGTTGTTATAATGTACTGCATGTTTGCTCAGAGTACGTTATTTACAATAATAATAATCCTTACATTTGGTAAAGCGCCTTTCATGTTGGAAGAACGTCTGAAAGTGCGTCACAGGATATACTATAAACTGAAGTGACTTGTGTATTTTGGGTGAACACGGCAGCCAACATGCGCAATGCAATGTCCCACAAGCAACCATGAAGTGAATTAGCAATTTTATTTGGGGCATTGTTAACCTTTAACCTCCACCTGGACAGATAGATGGGACATTTGATACCTGTCTCAAAGCATTTCACAGGATTTTGCTAAAAAAGTGAATGAATGTATTTTTTAGGTGAACACAGCTGCCAATTTGCACACAGCAATGCTCCACATGAAGTGAAAGACTAATTTTATTTGAGGAATTTTTGGCTTGGGCACCAGAAAATCCCTTCACTTTTCAAATAGTGCCATGGGATTTTTTACATCAACAACAACAACAGCTTGCACTTATATAGCACCCTCCAGGCAGGGTAGCGTCTCAGAGTGCTTAACAGTAACGGAGCCTGAATCCAAGCGGGGTGGGTGGGGGGCCAGTAGGTGGCCATAAGCACAGTCGAAGAGAATGGGTTTTAGGCGAGACTTGAAAAGGAGAGAGCGGGGGCAAGACGGAGAAATTGAGGGACAGTGTTCCAGAGTTTCGGGTAGTAGGGCTGATGGTAGGGCGGAGGGTGCGAGGGATGAGCAGGAGGTCAGTGCCAGTCGAGTGGAGGTGCTGGGTGGTGGATTGGGGAGTGAGGAGGTTAGCGAGGTACGGAGGTGCCAGAGTCAAGGGATTTGAACACAAGTATGAGGATCTTGAAGTCGATCTGTTTAGTTATGGGGAGCCAGAGGACCCTGGCCAGAACTGGTGAGATGTGGGTACAGAGTTTGGTCCGGGTAAGTATATGGGCAGCAGAGTTCTGAATGAGCCGGATTTTTTGAACAACCATCTGAATAGGCAGACAGGAGCTTGGTTTAACATCTCATCCAAAATATGCCACCTTCATTAATGCAGCACTCACCCAGCATTGCATTGGAGCGTCAGCCTAGACTATGTGAGTTTAAAGTACAGATATGGGACTTGATCGCATAATTTCTGACTCAGAGGCGAGAGTACTTCCAACTGAGTCAGAATGGCAACTATGTTTATGAACTTGGGACTCCTTCAAATCAGTGTACACTGGTCAGAGAGTGGGGAGGGTGACACCAGGTGAAAAATGAAACAATTTAATCCCTTTTCTGATGGCTTGAATATTTTTGTTAATATCAGATTCTCAGCGCCTACTGTATATATTTCCTATTTAAAAATCTTTCAGCGAAACTCACCAATTTGGACACCCTGACTTTCTTCTCTCCATGTTTCCACGTTGAGAACAGCCTATCAGAAATGCTTTGGCATCAGCGCATTAGGTTATCCATCAGGACCATGTCTGAAAATCCTTCTTTTTAAAATGTTATATTTTATTTGTAATACTGCTCTCAACAGCTGGATTAATCGTGGTTTTGAATTTATAGACCTTAGCTGGATCATTGAGTTTTTATTTTAGCTGTGCCACACTCTCTGGAACTGTCTCCCTAAATCCCTCTCCTTTCCATCTTCCCTCTAGGTTTTCTAAACTCTTCCAATAACCTACCACTTTGATTGTACCTTCAGTCATCTCACCTCCTCTATAGTCCACCCTACTTGGACTCCCACTTCATCCCTGTAAAGTGCTTTTGAGATGTTTTACTTTGTGAAAGGTGCTATACAAGTGCAAGTTACTTTAGCTATATGAAATTCTCACTGGTTGCAACACTTCTTTTAACACGAATGAAATGACAAACCCATGTGATATTGAAAAATTCTGTTAGCAATATTTCGTGGAACAATTTCCGGCCATTATTTTATGTCTGGAAAAAAAGTAACGAACTTTAGATGAGATGTTAAACCGAGGCCCCGTCTGCCTGGCCAACAAATCCCCCAAATAATATTGCTCAGGTATTAACAACAACAATAAAACAACAAAATTACATTTATAGAGCGCCTTTCACGTCGGGAGGACGTCCCAAGACGCTGGACAGTCAGGGGTCAGGACCCAAGCATGGGGGAGGGGTGGGGTAGGGGTGAGGGAAGGCAGAGAGGTGGGAGGGCGACTGAAGGCATGATCGAAGAGGAGGTCTTGAGTCCGGCCTTGAAGGAGGCAAGGGAGGAAGCGAAGCAAAGGGACTGTGGGATGGAGTTCCAGAGTGTGGGGGCAGAGAGGCTGAAAGCTCGGCCAGCGATGGTAGGGTGGTCGGGCAGGAGACATGGAGCAGGACATGGATGGCCTTGAAAGTGAGGACGAGGATTTCAACTGTCCAGGACATCCTCCCGATGTGATAGGCGTGATATAGTGCAATTTGTTGTTGCATTTGTAGTTGTTGGTCATTCGCTTCATGGCTGTTCGTGGGATGTTACTGTGTATAAATTGGTTGCTGATTGACGCACAAAACACAAAGTAACTCCACTTTACAGTATAGAATGTTTTGGGACATCCTTCTGACATGAAAGGCACTACACCAAATGTAAAGGTTATTGTTATTTAAACCTTTCTCTTGATAACATTATTTGTTTAGTGGAAGAAAATCTCATCACCTACCTTCAAGAGCAAAGATTTCTTCACCAAGTGTTTCTGCTATAGTCACCAATGCCTTTTCATCAGATACATTGAAAAAGTGTTTGTCTTTCGGTGAGCTTGCGATGGACTCGATTTCTTTTAGAAATTTCACGGTACTCTGATTCCCTCTGTTGTAGCTGCCGAGCACCTAAACGTCACAAATACATTTGATTAAAAGAAATTGAATTTAGTATAGCCACTTGTGAAAGAACCTTAATTGCTGCTCTAAATTCAAATCCCTGCGTGGCCTTGCCTCATTCTATCTCTGGAACTTCTTGTATCCCTACTGACCTGACTGATCATTCTGCTCAGCTAATAACAGTGTGCTTCTTGACCTCCAGTTGATCTGTTCCAATATCTGTGGTCAAGCTTTCACCTCTTCTGCCCCCATTCTCTGGAATTCCATCCCGGAATCCGTCCGCCTTGCCCCCACCTTTAAAGCCTGCCTTAAGACCTTTTCTTTTGAACCACACTTCGGCAGGCACTGCGGATGCGTAGGAATCAAGGGATGCAAAGCAAGCCCGACTTAACCAATGGAGTCAGGTAGGAGAAGATTACAAAGGCAGGGAATACTGGAAATTAAGGGATATATAGATAAGTTTCAAATCCCTAGAAGGATTTGGGGAATCAACAGAAGTCGATCTGTTGGGAGCCAGGGAGCCAGTGGAGTCTGATGAGAATTGGGGATGTAGGCATGCGGAGTGCTGTGTGGGTTAGGTACTGCAAACCTGGATTTTCTCACTCAGCCCCTGGTACTCCTGCAAGCCGGAGCTCCTTTAGTTAGGGTGGTCCTAGCTAGACAAGTAGCTTGCCAGATAGTGCTCTGAATGGTGAGCTATGTGGTTTTAGCTGTTAAACTCCGGAGAATCCCAATGCATATTCTGGGATCCCCAAACCATTGGCTCTTGCTAACCTGCGCCTAATACTCTCTGGAAGTAGGTTGCGTCTTGATAAACAGAGTGTGCATTCCATTCCAGGCACAGGAAAATAACCATGTGTGGGTTTCATACATACGTGAAACTCTCAGTCTGTTTAGACACTCAAGTAAAGTGATGGGTTTTCGCATGAGTCAGACCCTCGGCTGACCAAAAAAAAAGTGGACAGTGGAGTTTTGGATTAGCTAGAGAAATGGGAGGGTAGAATATATTTTACAGAGGGCTGTTCGAAGATTGAAATGACTTAACATAACTGGCTGCTGTAGCCAAGGCTACAGTGTCATTTAAAAGGGAATGGGATGAAATGTACTATTTGAATAGTTTTACACCAGACTGGGTAATATGTTTTAACTTAATTTACAGTAATTTTGTGACCCAAATGATAATTAATAATAAGAATCCTTACATTTGATACAGAGGAAGGATGTCTCAAAGCACATCACAGTACATACTGTAAAGGTATTTAGGATTTTTTAGGCAAATTATGGCGTACTATGTATTAATACATTACAGGAGATGTTTATTAATCATAAAGTGACTATCTACCACTGACTGAAGGTATTAAGTACCAGGAGGAATTACTTATGGCCTCTATCAATGGCATTTCCTGTCAGTCATTAGATACATACCTTGTACTTAAATATACTGCTGGTGGCAATTAGACATTTTGCAACTGAAATTGTTCTTCCTGCTGAATCAATGTGCGCTTTGTAAACAAACAACCTTGGCTAATGCCCTGATTCACTGAAGAAACATTCTCAGTTATTTTTAAATAGGATTTCGAGAGTGCTACATGGAAAAAAAACTTGAAACGTAATTGAGCCACGTGCTCCTGAACTTACAATGGCAAATCAATTACCAACCACTAAGTTACATATAATAATCCCTGGCACATTTAACTTGTATGCATCGAAATTTAAATAAAGGTATGCACCAGAACAATAACAACTTGCATTTACATAGCACCCCTTACGAAGGGTAGAGTCCCAGAACACTTGACAGTGGCAGAGCAAAACACCTTCAGCAGCCTGAAATTGCACCTAGGTTTAGCCTGTAAGATCATTTTGCCTTAAAATTTAAGGTTTCATAAAATTGGGGAGAATTTCTCAATTCAATTTTAACACGAAAGACATTTTTCTACAGTTCTTACCAGGGATCACTGTTGGCATTGTATTGACCACATTGTACGTAATAGCCCAAAGGTATGCAAGCTAGTGAATACAGCAAAAAGCTATTTATTTTGTGAACTAACATGTGTGTGACAGGCATTCACTCTCTGCTGCTAATGGGGCAGGAAGCCTGTTGCCTAGATAGGACCTAAATTGCTTGAGCAGCTGTGATTTCTCAAATTTCTGAATTTAATGTGTTTCCTTTGTCAATCCGGTATTTGGCCCAAATCAGAGTATGAAGTGAGCGTTTTATGATTTAAGATTAGCACGTGAACTCAAATGCAAGCACAAAACCTTGCACTCCAACACCTGAGTTAGAACTAAATGTCGGTATTTTATCTACAGCATGTGTCCATGAGAAACAAAGGTATTCAGTGAATCATGCCCATCTCTGTCTCATCATTCTCTGCATCTTTCTAGCCAGTAACTTATAGCAACAATGTATATACATGGTCCCTCACTACCTGTCTGCTCTCTGAGAAGGACAGTCAACAACAACAACAACTTGGATTTATATAGCGCCCTCCACGCCAGACGGCGTCTCAGAGCGCTTCACAGTAACGGATCCCGGGGCCGAGCCAGGGGGAGGTGGAGGGGGAGGAAGGTGAACAAAGGTGCGGTCGAAAAGAAAGGTCGTCAGCAGAGACCTGAAAATAGGAAGAGAGGGGGCGAGACGAAGGGAGTGAGGAAGGCAGTTCCAGAGCCTTGGGGCATAGTGACTGAAGGCACGGCTGCCGAGAGTGGAGCGGAGGACTCGGGGGACGAGGAGGAGGCCAGACCCTCTCTCTAGATAGTCTCTCACTATTTCAACCCCATTTATGTAGGAGAGTTCACAGCCATGGGTCAGGGTGAAGCCTCAATTTAAGCAGTAACCTACGTGATCTTCAAAGAACATTTTATTATTATATGGCTGTGAGTATCTTCTCTTAGAAAAAATGGCAACATGTGCTAGTATTCCGTTTATGATTTTACGTCAATTATTGCAAACTATTAAGGAAATCTTTTTCTCTGAAGTAAATAACAGGAACAGTGCAGTTCAACAATACTGAATACTGCTTTGTGTACTATCGGGTGCCCATCTATTACCGATTAGGGCTTGCATTCACAGGGTTAAGGACATGTCCCTGTTTCCAGATCTCATTGATGAACAGGATTCCCAACCAAATGCAAATAGTACTTATTTTTATTGCCTTGAAAAGATTAAGGTCTGAGTGGACCCACCAGGATTTGAACCTTACCCATTCGTGCAGTCAACTGAGCTACCCCAAAACTCGTGCTTTGAATCAAAAGACAGCCTGGCACAATTGGTAGCACTCTCACCTCTAAATTAGAAGGTTGTGTTCTCTCTGTGTGTGTATGTCTGTTTGGTAGTGTCGCTGTGTGAGTGTCGTTGTGTGAGTATGTCTGTATCTCTCTCCTCTGTATGTATGTGTTCGTGAGTGTGTCCGTGTGTATCTTTTCTCTATGTGGTTGTGATTATGAATGTCTCTGTGTGAGTTTGTAGATGTTTCTCTCTTACCTTTGTGTGTGTGTGGGAGTGTGTGCGTGTGTGTGCCTTTCTCTCTGAGAATGTCTGCCTCTCTGTGTCTGTGAGTGTGTGTCTCTCTCTCTGTCTGTGTGTTTGTGTCTCTCTCTGTGTCTCTGTTTCTGTGTGTGATGCTGAGAGGCAGGAGGTGGTGAGCTCCTGTAGCCCCGCAGTCAGGACATTGGTCCTCAGTGTCTGTGTTTTGGCAGAATCTCCAGACCCTTCGGGCCTGAGTTGGTGTTCCCCTTCCCATGCGTCACTTCCGGGCTGGACTATTCTGATGCCTTCCTCGCTGGACTCCCCAAATCCACCATACACAGAATTCAATGAATTAGAAACTCTGCCACCGGTTACTCACCCGCACAAAACTCTCTACCCCCATCACACCAGGCCTTGCCAGCCTCCACTGGCTCCCAATTACTGAATGGATCGATTTCAAGATCTTCTCACTCGTTTTCAAATCTCTTCATGCCCTCGCACCTCCCGACCTATCCGATGTGCTTATCTCCCTCAAGCATTCTGGGATTCTACCTTGTATAAGGGGTGCTATATAAACGCAAGTTGTTGTTGTTGACCCCCCTCCCCCACTCCACCACCTCTGCTTGCCCTCCTGCTTGCCCCTCGCGCTCTCTGCTCCACCATCGGCGGCCGTGCCTTCAACTACGATGCTACCCCACGTGAAGGGCGCTAAATAAATGCAAGTTATTGTTGTTATTATGTGAATAAATAGTTTCTTAAGATTCTATAAGATACAATACAATATACATTTGTATAGTGCTTCCACGTTAGGAGGACCTCTGATGGGCTGAATGTCTTTTTTCTGATTTCATTTTTTTATGTTCTGTATACATAAGATGAATAATATCTTGGAAAATCCTGAAATATAAACTACTTACTGCAATAGCAAACATTGTAATGTTGTCCTTTTTACAGTTGTTGATCACACTTTCTAGGTTGTGACTGTCATGAGATTCACCGTCTGTTACCACCACCATGACTTTAGAAACTCCTTTTCGCATCCCCCTCTGCGTTGTGAATTCCTCAGTCCTGGTTTGGAAAGAGTTAAATCTTACTGATAAATGGGAAAAAATGTGACTGATACTGGAAAAAAAGTCACAATATCATAGTAATCATACAAAATCATAGAGAAAACTTTTCCAGTGTAACCTCATAAGAAACTTCAAATGATTAAGTGTCATATCTGATAATCATCCTTTCTTTCTCAGATATGGATTGACATGCTTACTCATGCTGTTCATATGAATGAGGGAACACACCATATTATGTGGATCGCGAGTGTCTCACATCCAAATGTTTTGACAAGATAACAAGTGGTTCAGGACGCTACTCCCACGTGAAGGACGCTATATAAATGCAAAGTGGTATTGTTGTGTCTGAAAATCATCCAAACTTTGAGACTTGTGGCATAGAAATCCATTTAGCCAGTATATGTCTCCAAAAAGATGACCAGCAATAGCATTTAGGATCAGGGAATATATAGGCATGACTTTACCTACAAAATGTTATGGTGGGGTGTAATACACAATAGAATAGGTTTATCTGGTCTATGGAATTTACTGGTGTGATGGACTGAATGGCCTTTTCTCATTTCATGTTTATTATGTTATAATAATAATTATAATAATAATCCTTGCATTTTGATATAGCGCCTCATCATGTCTTCGAGCCATCTCAAAGCTCTTTATAGAATATACTGTAAAGTGAATGGACTGTGTATTTTGTGGGTGAAATGTTCTCACGTAATGCTCAAGCAATATTGTCACAATAAAATTACAAGTGGACCATGCACATCCATATGAGTTTAATTTCATGGGAATGACATTAATCCCATTGAGTTTATTTTTATGCTGAAAAATTATGTCACATTTCCTTCAGCACCACATCATACAGTAATCAAAATAAAGTATTCTCCCCAATGTCAGATCATTTCCTGTGAACTGTGCCTGATTACCTCTTCACAGGAAACTGTAACCACTTCAATATTTCCTGATACGTTCATGATTTTATTACTTGATTACAGTGCAGACTCTGTATTGTATAAGCCTTACATACATTACTAACCAGCTGTTTTGGATGACATAGGAGGGAATTTTACATTCAGCCCAATTAATCTGTGCTGGTATTTATACTCCACTTGAGACTCCACCTCTCCTGAATCACTCTTCTATATCCATCTATTCCCTTCTCCCTCATGTGAGTATCAATGCTAGCCTAGACTAGTTGGAGCGAGTGGCCTGCTACCTTGCTGTAATATTCTATGTTGTAATTCTATGTATAAATCAAATTTCCTCTTAAATATTTTGATGTTTCCTCTTCAAATACTCTTTATTAAAGGCTGAGCAAACTGAAAAATTAGGTACATCCACATCCATACAGCATTAATCTGCCCGTAAAACTGTTGGATTGGACTTGTGAAGCATAGCAGTGGATTTAGTGATACCATATGGATTTTGAGCAGTAATTTAACTATGAGTGAATTTACTACCCCTTTACAATTTGCACTGTAAACTAATTACAGGTGTTAATAGTTATATCAAAACAGGTGATGAATAATTAAGTGAATACTATAGAGCAGGTCCAAAATGCATGCAGTTTTCATTGATTCTGTTCCCTCGATTTTTCCAATATTCTCTCCTTGCCCGTCTCCCCAGCTACACCATTCATAAAATACAATGAATTCAATACTCTGCTACCCATATCCTCACCTGCGTTAAACTCTGCACAGTCATCATTCAAGTCCCTGCCAGACCTCTCTGGCTCCCAATTGCAGAATGGGTTGATTTCAAGATCCACACACTCATGTACAAATCATTTCATATCCTGGCACCTCCCTATCTCTCTGTTTTGTTTACACCTGACTCCACTAACTGCTTTCTTCGCTCAGCTGGTTCCGGCCTCCTGCTTGTCTGTCCCTTGTCCCCTCAGCTCCATCATTGGCAGTCGTGCCTCAGTCACTATGCCCTGAAACTATGGAACTCTCTGCCTCAATCCCTCCACCTTGGCCCCTCTTTGCCCGTCTCCAGATCTCACCTAAAGGCCTTCCTATTCGACACTGCCTACAGACACCTCCCCACCCCGGCTCAGAGTCAAGCTCCTTCACTGTTAAGTTCTGCAAGATGTTACTCCATATGAAGGGCACTACATAATAATAATAAGAGGGTAATAATCCCTTAAAAAAAAAAATGTGGTCACTCAATCTACAACTGTTTGTGGGACATTGCTGTGCACGTTTCGCCCACAAAATACACAGTCAATTTACTTTACAATATATTCTGTGAAGTACTTTGAGATGTCTAGAAGACGTGATAAGGTGCTGTATCAAAGGCAACCATTACCATTACTATTATTAATTGGCTTTCCTAAATTCAAGAAAGCTGTTCTTGTTGTTGGTTCTGATTACTAATACATAGATCGATTAAAATCTATCAGGTGAAAATCGGGATGTTTCTTAACAGACTGAAAGTAATAATTAACAACTGGAACAGATAACCAGGAAGGGTAGTTGCATTTATCTACTTTTCTGTGTGTGAGTGCTTGTGTGTGTGAACTTGTAACTTAACGAAGCCACCTGTTTTAACCTGCAATGATGTCTGCCAACTTCTGCATCTAACCCTTGTCTGAGCTGTCTGAGTGAATTTTGCTGAAACCAGCAACGGAGAAACACAACACTCAAAGGATCAAGGAATTCTTTCCTCCGTATACACATTTATTCCAGATGTTTTAAACACTTGAAACCTGAAACTACTGTACATTCATGTCTCTTTGGGGAAGAGGGTAAGCAAAACATTTTAAAACATTTGTTGGGTTAATGTACTTGAAACATCAGCTTGCTGCAGTCTCAAAGTAAAGTTAGGTTTCAGGATGCATCTGGATGTAATGTTACATTCATTATTAGAATTGGAGTTTTTTTTTCTTACTTTTCTGGACAGATTTATGTGGATTTATTTTGGGAAAACTGTTCTTGCAAGAAATATTAAGAGACTAAGATTCAATTCCTAAGTCAAGCATACTGTACTTCAAATCCTTGATTAAGCAAACATTTTTTTTTGAAAACCTAAAAGTTAATGGTGCTTATTCCTTCAAACACCCAGAATATTAACTATACTGTCACAGGCGACATACTGGAGCCAATAAGCCCATTACAGTTTATCAGCTATGAGGTAATGATTTAATGGAAAACAATAGACAAAAGAAAAAAAACAATATCTGAGGATGTTTCATGAAAAGAATGTTATCTCCAACATTGCAGCACTTTCTCATGAACACTGGGGTATCATCCTAGATAATGAACTGAAATCCTGGTGTAAGGGTTTGAACCCATAATCTTCTAACCTAGAACTGCTAATGCCACAAACAGATCCAGGGTGGGAGCTGATATTGTAATAGTGTTAATTAACAAATTAACACAATGATGGTGCTAATTAACAAACACATTAAGTAGAGTGCCCTTATGATATTCAACACATCGACTAGTCTACAGGTGTGCTGGAGGCAGAACCCCCTGATATCCTTTTTAACTGCTGCATTGTCATGCCACCCATTGGATTTCTACTTGTGGACTAGACTGCTGGTTAGTGGGATATTGTTCATATGCTTTTGCTCAAAAATATCAGTAAAAGTAGCATGCTTCAAATCTGACAGGAAAACAAAATGGTTTATGACATACACTGCAGCTTTTAAATGAAAACAGTTGGGCTGGCAATTGTGCTAATAATTGGCATATGTTGCAGCAGTCTTTGATGTAGTGAATGGGCTTGGTTTCATTTCTAGTAGCAGCCCACAGTGTATTATTTAATGAATTGATTCAGAGCTATTGGCACTGCTGATATAGGAGTAGCACACGGATGGCAAAGCAACACCACTCATTGTTTAGTACACCAATGATCGTTACACTTGTACAAAGAATAATGAAATCATTAAAGCATTTTAGAAAACTTTGGAAGACATTGTACAGATTTCCTGTGCAATTAACAACAACAAGATTATATTTGTATAGCACCTTTCACATCGGGAGGATGTACCAAGATGCTGAAAATTAAACATTATTGTAAAATCTTAGTCAGTTAAAGGGTTGTTCTTAGTGTAAAAATTTACAGCACAAAAGAATGCTATTTGACCCATCATGTCTAGTATTTCACATTATTTTCAGTCCCTTAATTAATAGTAACAGCTGTGGAACAATGTGTTCTGTAACACAAAAATCAGAAAATGTTCACACACAGTAGATTCTATCAAAGAAACTCTATCTCCATAAATAATACTGTGTAGCGGTGGAGGCAATCAATGATAAACCATGACCACCAACACCACATTTTTGAAATTAAATGTTGTTGGGCTGCACAATACATAAAATGTTCTTTGGCAGCTTTTGATTCTCAATGTTTGTATGTTGTATGGTAGTAAAATTATTTTTCCTTCTTTATTACATGTATATCACGGGTGAAAAATCTGATGATTGTATGGTAAACTAAACATCCTGTAGGTAAGCACAGAGGGAATGCATTCATGTGTTTGTGATTAAATATGATCATTTACTCCTCACATGTTTTCTATGTGCTCAGATATCCTTTACTGATATTCCAGACCTACAAAACAAGCTGGAGGCTTTTAGTGCTTAAGGCTGGGAACTAAACACAATTTACAAGTTCTGTAATATGGTACATATCTTTCCACTGTATTTCTACTCAATGTCTTTATATAAATAAATGTCTATAAGCATTTGAACAGTTTAATATAGATTTGTATTATGACCATTATTTTCCTACTAAAATGCAGTGATATTACTCTGAAGATATGTATTTTAAGAAATTGATATTTTAAATAGCAAAGGTCAATGTGTTTCAAATCTACTAAATGTTTTCCCTTTAGAGCCTGTTGTATAATGAGTTTAACAGCCCCACTTATAAGGAAGTGTGCAAAGCCAAAGAATTTGAACTGTTTACAGCACGTAGATAGAGAGTGAAAGAATGACTGGGAACTTTGATTTTTGAGCTCTACAAAACTTTAGCAATGAATGTTCGAAAAATAGACATCGTGGGAAGGGTGGCCTTAATGTTTGATTGACAACTTGCAGCTGGGAGAAACCTGTGTACAATTTGGGGATTAACTTTTAGATCGAGTCTCTACCCTTTTTAGTGCAGCCAGCACAACCCAGGGTTTGTTACTTCAGCCTAGCGATCGGTAGACTAGGTCAAGCCCTTCAAATATGGATTTTATGAAAAATTAATTACTCTAATCATGAATTTTTGTTTCCTCTGTATTCCACACATTAGATATAGAGTCTTTTATGTCAGAGGGCATCTCAAAGTGCTTCATGGGATTTACTGTAGAGTGTAGTGACTACTTTGTTGGCGAACACTACAATAATAACAATCCTTTCATTTGATATAGAGCCTTATTACATCGTTGAGATGTCTAAAAGTGCTTCATTGAATATCATGTAAAGTGAGTTGACTGTATATTTTATGAGAGAATAAGTTAGCATGGTAATTATTTTATTCAATTACCTAATACAAAATCCATAAATTATTTTAAGAGGGAAATAGAAAGATGCTCATGAAAAAATCATATTGAATCATACAGGGTTCGGGGAGTGAGCAAGAGTGTGAGATTAGTGGTTTACGTGAAGAAAAGCAACTGCACCAGCGCCTTGGGACGTCCTCCCAACGTGAAAGGCGCTATATAAATGTAATTTATTGTTGTTGATGATGATGATGATGATGGACAAATGGCCTGTCTGTCTTTTATAAAAATTATAACACATTGTGGAGCCTGTTGAGACTGAGTGTGTGTTTTCACAAGATTACATGAGAAAATGTAAATCTGGATGAAGAAGACACTTTGTATCTTTCGATCTCATCCTTCCAGAATACCCACCACGCTGCCACTTTTGTAGCACCAAGCTTTTTCTTAATTACCTATGCTGGTAGCACTCTGAGTCAAAAAGTTTGTGGCCTTAAACCCAACGTCATGAAATCATGCCACTCCAGTACAATGCTGGGGAAGTGTCACATTGTTGGAGATGCTTCAGATCAAATGTTAAAGCGAGGTCCTGTCTGCCTGTTAAGACACATGTTAAATATCCCATGGCACTACTTGAAAAAGAAGCGATTTTCTCCTGATATCCTGGCCAACAATCCCCCAAATTAAAATTGGTCATTTGCTTCATGGCTGTTTTGGGGAGATTGCTGTGCTCAAATTGGCTGCAGTGTGTATTGCTGAGATTATTGCAGCACTCTGTATTAAATCTACGGTCACTGGACAGAAGTGAGTGATGCTTCTTCTCTTATATTTCAATAAACTTTTTTATGCTTATTCAATGTGGTTAAACACAAGACGAAAAGTGGGTCAGATCAGGCCAAGCGCTGGATTATTGAGGTGTAGAAGACATTGAGGCCCTCATTATGAGAGTCATTGGAGAACATTAATTAAACTTGATTTGGCAATTATCTCTGTTTTGTGCCTTATGAGGACAGTAAAGTTGTATTTTTGTTGGCAACGTGGAGCTTGACGCAACTCTTCTGGACTTCGAAGTTAAATCAAAGGCAAAATAATAATCTTTCCATTAGATATCGGATCTTATCATATCGAAACATCTCAAAGTGCTTCACAGATTTTCCAGCAAAACAGAGTGATAGTGTACTTTGCAGGTGAGTATGGTAGCCAAAATGCACATAGCAACATCCCACAAGCAGCCATGAAGTGAATGATCTGAGGGATTGTTGGCCACAACACTGGGAGAAGCTCCCATCTCTTTTCGAATAATGCCATGAGATTTTTAATGTCCACCTGAACAGGCAAATTGGATCTCGGTTTAATGCCTCATCCAAAGGATGTCATCTCCGACAATGCAGTGAACTGCGAGCACTGGGCCATCAGCCTAGACTGAGCTCAAAGTCTCCACGTTGGGCTGGAAAGATCTCAGATTGAATTCCCAATCTATGCTTGAGTAAATTGATTTCAGGTGGATTGGTTAGTTAATGGTCAGTATAATTGGTTTCAGCACCACTGAAACATAGAAATATTCAGCGCAGAAGGAGGCCATTTGACCCAGCAACTTGTATTGCCACGCTGAAAGATCTGTCAGTTTAGTCCCATTCTCCTGCCTTTTCCCAATACGCTTTTATATAGTAATAATTCAGGAGGATGGAAATCAGTCAGTTTCCCACTCCTGTTCATTATCCAGTGACTTGTGTTAGTTATGCTCCTTTATGCACATCAGGTGAGTAACACAGGATTGGCCCTAGCAACAGTGCATACTGATTAAATTATTAACCAGCCTACTGTCCCTCATGATCAAGACTCATGAACAAATAATGCTCATTTTGGGGTTAATAATTGGAAAGCCAGTGTAATTGTTCATCATAACAACACTTTCAGAACGGGAGGGAAAGGGAGTAAGCTGCTTAAAGATAAATTTGAATGATGGAAAAGTTGTTTTTTAAATGAGTTCAGTGGTCTTGTCTCAGCCGAGCCCTTGCTGTTAACTAAATCCAGCTGTTCTTTACTTCTGTCTAAATATATACTTCCTGATGACGAGCATAAAGTTGCCCCAAATGTACTTCTCCATAATTGGAAAACCACTTGCTTCAAAACTCTCATCCAGTTTTAAACAACTCATGGAATGGAACACAATAACTAAAACAAAACTGAAGGCTACTCTATATCTTATGGCTCTTTTAGGCCTGTTCAGTGTGAAATACAGATGGTTCTTGCAAGTCAGGCAATCCATTTTAACATAAACTATGGAAGGATACTGAAAAGAACATCACCAACTCAATGTATTTTAACCTAATGTGGTCATAACAAACGTTTTAATCCCATTTTCCTGACTTTTCCCATAATATCCTTACCTCACAAGGATCTAACTTTTAAAATTCCCAATTGTGACTGTATCTATAGCTGTCTGGGTTCACACTTTCCCATTACATTTTTGTATCTAAGACCTGTTCTTTTCAATGGTTTTAACCTAAAGTGATTCTTAACAGACTAAGTGGGTATGGACCTACAGCCCAAACCCTGCTCTGAGAGCTGGTGCATATTCAATGAACTCCTTCTGAGCTGTAAATTTCTCTGGCTCTAGGATTCTATGGATGGTCTGGAAGTGGCCCCTGCCTGCAGATGGTGGTTGGCGATCATGCAAAGATGGACAATAACTGATAAAAAGTGAGGCATACATCTCAAATTTACTCACCTAGCGGATTCGATCCCAAGAGCTGTCTTCGTCTGATTTCCGCCATACTGTTTGATCTTTTTGGCAGCCTCCAGGAGATCTTCTGTTGTGTTGTATTGATTCAGACTGATGATATGTGTGACGCTATGTCCATATTGCATAATTCCCACCTGAAGCATCAGCAAGGAAAGAAAAGGGCACTGAAATCGCAAACATTCCTTTGACATTATTCATCATGAATCTAGATAGACTTTTGTGAGCAGGGGGTCAAATGACATTTTTGCGATGTCGGCATCAAATGAATTGATGATGGTTTCTGGTCCTAGTTTTGCTTTGATGTCATTTGACTCTTTGATGTGCAATTTACAATCAAAAATATAACCTGTGGCAGACATCTGTGGAGATGCTCTAATGTATATTATTAGCGAGATAAAGATGCTTCCCAGACCCAAGAGGCAATGAAGAGAGAACAATGAGAATGAACTCCAGTGTTAGAGGAATTAATTATGTTCAAGCTAAGGCTCTTCAGTCTCGAGGGAAAACAACTTTGAGAGGACCTCATAGAGATGTATGAATTTTAAATGGGATTATAAAAGTAAACCAAGATCAATACTTTAGGATGCATCAACATTGTAAAACAGATGCCATAGGTTCAGAGTTAGAAAAACACTTTTTTTTGTCCTTTGCCCAATTTGCTTCTTTATAGTAATCCAGTATTCTATATTTATATAGCAATATAGGATGGATACAGGGAAGTTTTTTTTCCGTACAGATGGTAATTAACAGCAGAAACCGGTCTCTAAGAAAGGTGATTGACGTCAGGCCACTAGACACATTTTTTAAAAAAAACTGCTGTGATGCTATGATGTTGAAGCTGTGATGGGGGAATGGTAACATGTTTGTTCTGGAGATGAGATCAGATCGGCCAAAGGGTCTTCTTCATCCATATCAATCTTGTGATAACATTTTATTGGTTATTCACATTACGTGGAGTCCTGTAGCTCAGTGGTTAGAGCACACGCTTTGCAAGTGAGAGACCCGAGTTCAATTCCAGGCAGGTCAGGGCAAAACCTTGGGCAAGTTTCCTTACTCCACACAGAGCCTAATAATAATCCCTCCAAAACCAAAAACGATAATAAATTGGTCATTTTCATTCTACGACTGTTTGTGGGACATTGCTGTGCGTAATTGGCTGCCGCGTTCGCCCACAAATATACAGTCTATTCACTTTACAGTGTGTTCTGTGAAGCGCTTTGGGATGTCCTCCTGACATGAAAAGCGCTATATCAAATGCAAGGATTATTATTATTATTATTATTATGGATGTTTGTGGGACATTACTGTGGCTGCTGCATTTGCCTACAAATACAGTAAAACCAGTAAAGCTGTTTGAGACATCTCAAGAACGTGATAAGACATTGTATAAAAAGCAAGGATTATTATCATTATTTTTCCTTTCTTAAAAGGCTTTCTACCCTTGTTCAGACAAAAAATGGCATACAAAGTAACCCATACAATTAAGTTAGTTTCCAAATGCAGGGATGAAAACGCACTGTAACACAATGTATCTGATGCGATTTACAAGAGATGGATTTGATGTGATAAATCCAATCAAACCTGACAGGAAATACTAAATTTTCAATCTGTGTTTTCTAAAATGAGCACAAAATTAACCTTGATCCTTCCTTGTTCACTCATCCCCAGGTCACAAGCGACAATAAAATGCCCCAAGCAAGCTATTTAGAAGTCTTAGTAAAAGAGAATGCATACTCTAAAAGGTTGTAAAATTTTAAAGGAGAATCATCTTTCTGAAAAAGGGGATAGGTGAGTTTTCTTGAGCTGGAAAGGGAAATACAGCATATCATCTTTATCATAGAGATATTATGTGGAGTTCTGTAGCTCAGTGGTTAGAGCACTTGCCTCACAAGCAAGAGATCTGGATTCCCGGCAGGGCGAAATGTTGAGCAAGTTTACTTACTCCATATGCCTCTGTTTACCTAGCAGTAAGTAGGAACGCAGTCGTTAGTCGATTGGCAGATCGCTTTTCTGGGGGTAATAATTCCTTCAAAAAAAAATTGGTCACTCAATTCACGACTGTTTGTGGGACACTGCTGTGTGCAATGTGTTTCGCTCACAAAATATACAATCAATTCACTGTACAGTATATTCTGTGAAACGGTTTGAGCCGTGTCTTGATAAGGCTGTCAAATGCAAGGATTATTATTATTATCATGTATAGGTGATGTATTTTTATCTGGTTTGTGCTGAAGTGTGTGTTTGGAGCTAAGTAATAATAATAATCCTTGCATTTGATGTAGTGCCATATCACATCATCGAGGTGACTCAGAGAGCTTCACAGGACATTCTGTAAGGTGTAGGGACTGTGGATTTCATGGGCTGAAACACAGCGACCAGTTGCGCACAGCAATGTCCCACAAACAGCCATGGAGTGGTTGACCAATTCGAGGGATTTTTGGCCAGGACAACAAGAGAAACTCCTTTCTGTTTTCAAGTAGTGCCATGGGATCTTTAATGTCCACCTGTACAGGCAGATGGGACTTCAGGTTAACCTCTCACTTGAAGGACAGCACCTCTGACAAGGCAACCCCCCCACCCCACCCAGCACTGCAATGGAGTGGCAGCCTAGATTATGCCATTTCAAGTCCGGTGTGGAGCTTAAACCCACAACCTTCTGACTCGGAGACAATTGTGCTACTGCTGCACTAGGCTGACACACTAAAATAGATTCTAGGTGATGGTAGAACCCTTTTAAAAATGTTGACCTGTCAGTTTAACACAAGTGCAAGCCTCACATGTGGTTCTGGGAGTCTTTGTCTTGGAAGACGACCCCCTGTGTTGTTGTTAGAAATCCTGCATTCCTGTCAAGTGCTACATCATGGAAGCTTGACATATGGCCCTCTACAGAGTGATCATTTTCCAGCAAGATAGAGAGGAATAAAATGAAATTACAGTGGAAAGCTGGGGAGTCATCACCCAGCTGTCATTGCAAGAACTAGTCTAGGAGGTCATTGCAACAGCTTCCTCCTTTGGGAATCATTGTCTTGTTTAGTTTCCTAAACAGGGAAATGGAGCTAATCAAGTGCAGCTGCTGGAAAGCTGCATTTACGTAATATTAGTGCAAGGTATCTATAATTTAACCAAAACTGCTGCCTGGTTTGTTCTACTCAGTTTATTAATATTAATAATGACAGCAGACAGAGTCCACTGTGCTTTTTTGACATCATTTAAACATCATTACGAATGTCAGAATACTCTGGTCTTTTCTTGCATTAAAATATTAAAATCTTTTCATACATATAACTTACAAAAACAAGAAACCCCACTTCCTCTTAAAGCTTGCGAAAATGATGTTGTAGTGAATGACAATTTGTCAAAGGGAGCAGTTAGGAGAATTGCATTTTTCAGAGAGGGATAATTCGTACAAACAAAATAGTGGCTGAGGCTGAATTCATAATAATTTCAAAAGATGAACATCTGAAAGAAAGAATCTAAAGTTTATTGGGACAAGTCTGGGGTTATGAGACCAACCAGACAGCTATACAGAGAGCTGGTACAAGCATGATGGCCGAATTTCTGTGCTGAAAAGTTTCTATGATTCTCAATTTAGCATGAGGTGTGGTGGAGAAATAAATAAAAACTTTTTTCGACCATTGTTGCCAGATTGCGTATCACCTATGGTGTAAAATCAATCCAAGTTGCTGCTGTCAGAACAATCCACCTCACATGCTTGACTCCCTTTAATCAGGGTGGTCCAACTTATTGCTGCTGAGAGCAGAAACGTCTGTGGGCCGCATAAGCAATATTTTTGTGTTTCCCTTACAAAACCATAACGTTTATAGGTTATGGAGGGAGCACGTGGGAAAATGAAATGGTGGGGTGGGGGTGTGGTAGGGCGATTGGACCATTCTGCTTTATATTATTAAAATGTTAGTGGCCGCAATAAGAACATGGAACTTTTTTTTTCTGCCTTCAAAACCAGATATCCCTGAATTGACCTTTGAGAAAGCAAGGTTGTTTATTGCCTGGAACAGGTCTACAAACTCTCTGTTCTCAATATTATCTGTTGAAATCATGAACAACAATTTTACATTTATATAGTGCCTTTCACGTCGGGAGGACATCTCAAAGTGCTTTACAGAACTGAGGGTGTACCTGAGCTGGTGGTGGGAACCTCGTGACAGTACATGGTGTGAAAGTATCCTTAAGAATAGCAGGATTAGCTTGTAACTCCAGAAAAAGGCATGTCGAAGTCTGACTGGGACTACAGGAATGCTGTTATGTCTGTCTGGGAGAATGGTTATAGAAAATAAATTAAGAGTGGGTGTCTTTTGATTCACCATTTAATTTTGCTTTAATGAGCAGGAATTACTAGACAGCAGCAAACACCGACTGATTAAAGCACAGGATGTTCTGTACTTATCCATGACAGTGCTAACATTAACTTACATTGGCTACAGAAATTATACTAAAATAAAGGAATGTGATTGCATTTAGCAATCCAAGTAATACTTCCCAACAAATGACTATTCTTCTTCAAAGGAACTACTATATAATAATAATAATCCTTGCATTTGTTATAGCTGGAGCCTTTCATAACCAGGAGGATGTCTCAAAGCGCTTCACAAGATTTACTGTAGAGTGGAGTGACTGTGTATTTTGTAGGCAAACTCAGCCTTGAAGTGAATACCAATTGTTTCTCGAGGATTGTTTGCCGGAATACCAAGAAAAACTCTTCTCTTTTCCTTGGTCTGCTCTATCCTCTATAATATTTACACTCTCCATCCTTGATTCCAGGACCACTGGTGTTTTACTGATTGCCTGTTGCGTATCAAGTACTGAATGAGAGCTAACTTTCTCCAGTTCAATGTCGACAAGACAGAGTCTCACCTCACCCCTTCCCTTGTATCCTTCAAAGTCCCTCTCAAGACCTTCCTCTTTGACTGCACCTTCGGTCATCGTCCCTCCCTCCCACCTCTACCAAATCCAACTCCTAGCTCAGGTGCAAACCCTCAACTGTCCAAAACATTGGGACATCCTCCCACCATGAAAAGTGCTTTATAATGCAATTAAAATGCAATTTGCTGCTGTTGCTTTCAAATAGTGTCATGGTATTTTTATCATCCACCTGAACAGGCAGGCAGGACCTAAGTTTAACATCTCATCTGAAGGCTGTCATCTCCGACAATGCAGCACACTCCCAGCACTGCATTGGAGTCAGCCTAAAGATTGAGTTCAAAATCCCGACATGAAGCTTGAACCCATAACCTTCCAATTCAGAGGATGTATCATTATCCAAACACACATACAGCTTTTCCAATTTCAGGCATTTCAGATGCTGTATATTACAGTTACAGGCTGTACGGCACTTCTGGGTGTAACTAAAATGCCCTGAATAAGAGCGTGGAGGGCAAGAAGCGGGGCAGAGAGAGGATCTTAGTTCTGTGCCTATTGTACATCCCGAACAAGGCACAGTGGCACCCTCAACAGGAAGAGGGCTAGAAATAACCACTGCAGCTGCCGAGCATAGATGTTCTGAAATAAGATGAATGTTTTCCATTTATTAGAACCAACTGCTGCCTAATTCATGCATGCCTGAAACATGTTGATTGCAGGACTCTTTTCAGTCTTGTCTGGGTTGTGAAAAGTGCAAAAGGAATAAGGCCGTATTGTACGGTCTGTGTCAGACAGTTAGATCAGAGGCCTAAAATCCTACAAGGACTTAGTCTAACATAATTTTCTTAAAATGTAACATCATATGGAATTTTGGAAAACATTCTCAATGCCAGTCTTAATTTAGCATTTTTCCATAGTTTTTTTTTGGGTGTTAACAATACTTAACTTGAAAGCTTCCAAATGAAGACTGAATTGAAGATTGTTTTCCAAAATTCAGTCTTGTAACACTCTTATATTTTGAAATCATAGGCTTAAGGCTATGACTAACCTTTCAGATTTTTGGGGGCCTCATCTTTCTTGGTAAATTGCTGTACTTCAGGCTCAGCTAATTTTAAGACATGTATACCAAATTTAGTCTTGAATTATTGCCATGGGTTGTGTCTATATGTGTGGGGAGAGGGAAGGGAGAGGAGGGGGTAGAGGGGGCAGAATGTCCTGGTTTCTTCATTCTACAGTAGTACCCGGTTATAATTTGCTTCAGTTTAACGTGAGTTTATTTATAAAACAGGTGTGTTTTAGACCAATGGCCAGCTTCCTACACCCTAAGTTGATTGGTCAAAGTGGTCAATTTCAGTGTTAACAGGTCACTGCCAACATCACTTTTTGCCCACTGCACATATAAAGAAATGCTGGAATCCTCTCTGAGCACAAGATTGTCTTCATTTCTTTGAATGAGTGTGTCTGTTTCAGACTGAATCAAAGTCATTATGCTGAACCAATCCATCTCCATGGATGTTTAGTTTAAGAAGGATAATGGTAGTTCTCGCAACAATGATTAAGCAAGCCAGGGGTCTTCAGCCTTGAGATAAGATAACTCAGATGGAACTGCATAGAGGGGACTACAATTTTAAATGGGATTGACAAAGTAAACTCAGATGAGTACATTAAGACGCAACACAAGAGTAGAACAAGAGGACATAGATTTAAAGTTGTAAAAAGCGACTTCAGTACATCAGGAAGTTTTTCTTCACTCAGGGTAATCAATGACTGGAACAGGTTGCCAGGAAAAGTAGCAGAGGCCAGGACCCTCAACTCATTTAAAAAGTAGCTTGATGCTGTGATGAAGGGAAAGGTAGCGTGGATGTTCTGGAAGAATGAGATCAGATGAGCCAAAGGGTCTTCTTCATCTAAACCATCTTGCGAACAATAGTTTTCCACAGCCCTCGATCAAACAAACAGGTAATCAAAGCAAAATGATGATCCAGACAAAAAATAACAAGTATGCCACTAACCTGGGTTTCTTGGGGACCAATTTTGATTTTTTCCAATAGTTTTATCAGAAACTTATTCACACTGGGCCAAGGATATATGCTGTTTGAACCATCAAGAACAATCATAATGTCCAGGCGAGACTTGCAGGCTGCAATTGTAACATATTTTAGAAAGGAGAGTTAGGAGGCAATATTTGATAATATTTGACTCCATGCAAAACAAAGTCAATATTTGAAGTGATTTTGGAAGTTTCAAATGTAAATGCTATAAACGGAGGAGGAAATAATAGAATAGCTAATACAACATTTTTTAAAAAAACTTTAAGAACATTAACCCTCATATCTCTTCTTTTTAGGTCTCCCTGTGTTGTGTTATTGCTTTTGATACTTTTCCATACTGTCACTTGAGATCAGGTAAAACTACTGCAAAATAAGGTACCAAATGAACCAATACTGCCTTGTGCTTCTAACTAATCAGTTTTCAGAATGGATTTCTCCCCCCCCCCACTCAATTAAGGACAAATCTACTCTGGATTATTTTCACTTTAAACAATCAAAATACTTAGGATGTTATGACCTATAATATATTTTATTGAGAAAACAATCAGCATCACTAAAACTATTGACGGTGATGGTCCCATTTTAAACTACTGTGGTTTGCTGCAACCTAAACCTATGAACTTTTCACAGGAAGTCATAACTGATTTTTTTTAACAATACATTACATATAGAACACTAATTTATATTTATATAGCATCTTTTATGTCAGGAGGACATCCCAAGATGCTAAACAATACTGGTTTGCCATCCGAGCTGGTTGTGGGAGCTGAAAGGGGTGGTGAGGAATAAAGTGACTAAAAGCGCAGGTGAAGAAGTCGTTTTTTTAATGAATAAATTAAATGCAACATTGTAGTGCTAAAGAAGTGCTAGCCTGAGCTCACTTGCATGTCACTGAGGAACTGAGCCAGTTAAATCATTTTCCAAATATTGTCAAATATACTATTCTCCTGAACAGCAGCCATCTCCGTGTAATGCAAATGGCAAGATTTAATTTACTATACTGTGTAACAACTTGGTACATTTTCAATCTGTCTTTACATATTTGGCCTGTTGGGTCACAATCTCTCCATTTAAGAGACGATAAAGGGTTAATAATTTTGCAGAACTTCATATACATATATAGACCCACAGGCAAATACTGGCAATGCAGTATCAGTTGTTTTGTTTTCAAAGCAAATACTTTTCATGTTACTGTTTGTTTTCACACTAAAATTTATGTTTGGGAAAGAATGATAAAATCCACTCTTGTGAGGGGGGAGGAGGGGCTTTTGTTTTTTTAATGCAGGGACACTGTTTGCCTGAATTGGAAGTTTAGACACATCTCTCTGCCATATATGCTCACTCTACTTCAGTAAGTGTTAGTGCATGCACTTCATCACTCTCCAAAGAGTACAGACACATCCTGCTTGACTGCATACCTTTCACTGTAGGCGCTATGGTGTTTACAACTTGGAAATTGGAGCTTACATTCGCACAGGCTCCAGTTGAGTAATAGAGACTCCCACACTTGTAAGAATAAAGTGGTCCACATGCCTGAAATAAAGAATGTGCATTGAATAGATTTCAGACACAGCAATGTCCTACAAACAATGAACGCCACCTTGAACAATGCAGCACTGCACTGGAGTGTCACTATATGAGTTCCACGTCTCCACGTGTTACTAACGGAGCCAGGCTGACACACAAAATAAGGAGTACATTAACTTCATAGAAGTACACAGAGAATAACAGTGACTCCTATTTCAACTAAGCAGAAATGACAAAGTAGAATTTTAGTAAAACTTTTAAGATACCTCATAAACTGCTAAGGCAAAGTTCAAATGGTCCTAATTGTCAACTGAAATCTTAAGAAACAATCATAAAATGCTTCCCTGGTTTCACTCCTATTTCATAGAGTTTATATTGCTTGAGTTTTATCTGAGGGTTTTGAATCAGTTTTTTTCTAGACATTCTCCATGGTCATATTATACAGTGATATGGTGTCCCGGGACGTCAATAGCTGCAAGTCTGAGAAATGATCTGTAATTTATTATCTAAAATAAATATAAAATGTATATAAAACTACATTTTATACTGTTAAATGGCTGTACCTTTTAAAATCTATTTTGCTGCTTTTCAAATGTACACCTGCTTTCTGTTTCCTAACATCTGCAAAAATAATTTATTGTACTTTTCTTATGTGAAATATTACACAGTAAAGGTATAAAACAATAGTAGGTCATATAATGATTCATAACAATACAGTATGAAGGACAACTTCAAGCCCAGGTGTCTGAATAAAACACTGAAGCATATTGATACATTCGTCCTGTCAACCAATTGCAGATTAAAACCTGTAATTCTAGAATAATGGTGGTTTCCTCCTGAGGATTTGTTACAGTGCTGGAGATTCTGGAGTCTTATGTTCTGACTGCTTGCAAATATCTCCTGTGTAACAACAGTTCCGTACTGGTGGACTACTCTACAGCAATCAACCCTATGAATATATAAACACTAACTGCAATAAATCGTCTACCTTTCACATGTGTGCAACTACACTTTTAGTTCTGCACCAGATAGTCTGATATGTGAATAGTCAGGGTATGGATGCTCAGTGATCCACTGCAGTTGATTTCAGTTTGGGCAGCAGTTGGACTGCTGACTTAGCCTCAGTGCTCCAGAGCTTAGGGTCTGGGAAGAGGAAATCTTGGAATGGAATGTGCACTCTCTTGAGAAGTGGATGGGAACCAACAAACCTTAGGCGAATGGGTTAATATTTTGTACAGATGAAAGGAAGTGTCACGGTAACACTAGGGTAAGATTTCCAATGTTTTAAGCCTCGGTTTGTTACCTAATGCTTGTGTAAATGACCGTTAAGTGACAGTGCACCTCTCCAGGGAAGAGGAATTGCCTTTAAGACCCAGATTGCTACCATCTTTGATTCTCTTGTGAGTCAAGGGGAGTATTATAATGAATTCTAACTCCTAGTGTGATTTATAACCTACTTTATGTGTTGAATATTTATTTTGCAGGTTTGATGTGCTAAGAAGGAGCAAAATACATGCTCTCTTCAAGCCATGAAATGAAATGATTCATGGCTGGAGAGAACATGGATTTCACTCTCTGATACTGCATTGATAGAGGTGCACTTCTATGTATTAAATGTTCCACCTGCCTGTTCAGTTGGATGCTAAAGATCCCATGGAACTATTGAAAAAAAGAAGGGATTATCTCTTGGTGTCCTGGCCAACAATTCTCCAGATAGAAATTCATTTCATGGCTGTTTTTAGGACATCGCTGTGCAGAAGTTGACTGTTGTGTTTGCCGACAAACATACAGTCTTGAGACATTGCAGAAACTCCCTGGAGTGTTTTGAGGTGTTTTGACACTACGGACCACATATCAATTCTGGAAAACAAACATTTAGGTAAATATTTACCCAAAAACATATGTTCTGGATTTCCTATTCTCTTTTGTTATCTTTATTTTGAAGCTATGATCCCCTGCTCTGGAATTTTGCACTTGGCAGAAAAAGTTAAATGAATTCTTGCTTTCCAGGCCCTTCTTAATCTTAAATACCATGATGAAGTAAACCACAGAATTCTCTGATCAAAAACCCCAGGTTGCTAACCTTTCCTTATAATTTTGTCTTTTATGTTCTGGATTTAATCCAGTCACCCTTCACTGAATCCCATCCAACGCTGTTTTTGATATATATATTTGTCATTAGCTGCAAATAATAGTAATAATCCTTGCATTTGGTATAGCACTTTCCATGGCAGGGGGATATCTCAAACCACTTCACAGGATATAGTAATTTGCAGATGAATGTGGCAGTCAATTTGCTCTCAGCAATGCCTCACAAAAAGCTATGAAGTGAATGATAAATTTTATTTGGTGGATTGGCCATGATACCAGGAGAAACTTCCCCTTTCTCCTTTAGAAAGTGGTTTGACATAGGACTAGATCTTGCAATACTTTCTTTACACTGATCTAAATTGAGTAGGTGTTTCACATTTTCACAGCAGAAATTAATTTTAGGACTACATGGTGTGTGTTTGATAATCATCTCGCGTCCCATCACCAGAGCCAAGTTTAAGATGGAAGATCATAAACTTGGTTGAACTTCACATTCCAACGTGATCTCTGCTTAAGACAACCACACATCTTTCAGATGAATAAATGGTAAAACACATGTTTTGCATAAATAACATTCTGTTCCTGCTTGTTCTTTGGAAACAAGATTATTATGCGGAAGTTGCAGTGTGCTGTAACTCTCAACAAAGGAAATTCATTACCAGTTAAGTTAAGAAACAATCCACTTGCAGAATTGATTGAAGGAGGAAATGCAGAATGTGGTGTGATAAATATGTAATCTGTGTATTTTGTATGCGAATGTAGCAACCAATTGTGTGATAATTATCTTAACACACTGCATGCAGCCTTCTAGCACAAAGGCAAGAGTGCTATCACCTGAATGAGGCTGGCACCAATTTAAATAAAACCACACGGTTATATTTTGTCCAGATAAGAACTCCACCTTTGTAGGCACCACCTGTTCACATAGAATGTGTGTGACGAATACATGAGGGAGAAGGGAACAGATGGATACAGGAGAGGGGATTAGGAAGGATGGTGGGTTGTGTGGAGTATAAACATTCTATGCCATTCTCTGCATCCTCCCCTTAAATCACCTTATGAATTATTGCTTCATTCCTAATAAAACTAACAGAGACAGCAACATTTTAACTGCTGATCATTCTTACCAGAAAACCTCCTTTAGGATTGGGTGCCAGTGTCGTGCCCAGCGTCATATTCTCCTTCACTTGAGTGATATTGGGAACAGATATAGACTCTGTGAACAGAAAAATGATAGGATCCATGTCTGTGAATGTGAACTGTAGATACTCGTTTTTATAAGCTTATTATTATAATAACAATCCTTGCATTTGATACAGCGCCTTTCAAGTCAGGAGAACATCTCAAACCACTTCACAGTTTATACTGTAAACTGTTGTGACTGTGTATGTGAACGTGACAGCCATTTGCAGACAACAATCATCCATAAACAGACATGAAGGTGGTGACCACTGTTATTTTACTCAGTCAGAGACTTTTACTCTGGTTGGATTACAATTGTTTTATAAAGACTCCTTACCTTCTCTAGGGATCTAGAGTCCATTGAATCACAAAAATAGCAGTGCAGAAGGAGACCTTTGTTAGTGTTGGCTCGGCTTTTTCCTGGAGCTCATGTGACCATCTCCACTAGTTGGGGAGGCATTTTCCAGATCATGCCCAGTGTCAAGCACAGTATACACCTACACATCTCCATTTGGTCTCCTCTTAAAAGAGATGGTTGGAGAGACATTTGTTTCCCCTTCTCTGCTGAATCAGTCATTTTTATTTTTCAAAAATTTATTTTGCCCCTGCTAGGAAGCGAATGAGTGAGTGGCCTGAACCAGGAGAGAGGTGTAGATGCACATTGTGTACATTGTGCAGGTGTGGGGGAATTCTCTTAGGAGCAGACTTAATGTTCCTCTGGGCCCTTTTCCCCCACTTTTTCCCAGCTATGCATTTAAGCTGGTGCTTGGTTATGCACAAGTGTTGGGTAGTCTAATTGCTTGGAATGTTATTTGATACAAGCTCCCTTCGGAAGTACAGAGGTGATGTAAAAGTGTCAGAAGCTCAGACTGCGGGAATACTCTTTGTCTTTGAGTCTCTGGGGCACATCATTAAAGCAGCATTAAATCTGGTTTGCTGCACGAGCCTATCAGGGTATTTGGGATTACTATTAATATTGTGCCACGCTGCAACAGAATCCATTACTGTAACCACGTGACTTTACAAACTACATTTATGAATGGCAAAGCAAAGATGAAAGTTTGCACAGAAATTCTCAGGTAAAATAATAATAATAATCCTTGTATTTGATATAGCGCCTCATCACATCATTGAGACACCTCAAAGCACTTCAACGAATATACTGTAAAGCGAATTGACCATGTATTTTGTGGACGAAACCCAGCAGCCAATTGTGCTGAAGACCAAATGAGAACATAAAAAAGAATGCAATGAGAACATAAGCAAATGCAGTACAAGAAACAATACAGTGCTTTGTAAACTCTTTTCCTCTGAATGTTTTGGTTTCCTCTGTTTTCCTCACCTCCCTTAAGAGGAGACCAAGTGGAGAGAGATTTGCAGGTGTATACTGTCTGCTATGAGGCATTCCCCAAGGGATAAAGTTGGTAGGTCTCTGGGCCTTTCCTTCACTTCTTCCCAGCTATCTCTGGGCCTTTCCTTCATATCTATGTATCGATGTAAAATTCTATTATTTCCAATGAAATTCATAGGAAGCAGTAAATTATAATTTTACCAGCTAAGTTCAGCTTCACACACGCTGGTCTGATGGAGTTGAATGTTGGGCATTTGTAAACATCACCCATTCGATTAATAGGCTGTCCTTCCCAGGGCGCTCCAATAAGAAGCCTGTATTAAAACAAAAGGTAATATGATTTGTCTTCACATTACACAGTTCTTGACAACATTTCACTCTGTTCAAAATCAAAATTCTACCTTGCATTCGAAAGCACATCGCTAATCATAAAACTGTCAGTGGCACTAAATAAAAGCCTACCCCTTCTTTGTCCAAAGAAAAACCTTTTTTTCAATGTGGCTTTCAATGGCTCTCAAACTTTTTCAGAGAAAATCTTGTGGTTTTGTCTAGCCGTACTTGGACTGTGTTCTTTGCAGGGTTGCAATGCGTACTAGCGTGGCATTCTATTTTTACACTACAGTGTTACTGCCATGCATGTTAATTATTTTCTTTGAAAATACCCTAGGGGGCAGTTTTCTAATCATCTTTTGAATCACTGACGCTGGCGGGCAAATACAACTGAGGCCCGAAATTCTGCTCAGCCTTAGCCTGCGATACCGTTCTGTATTATATTAAAGATTGTGCAGATTTGCAGGAAATTCTTAAATTCAGTCTGAATTTTGAAAGCTGTTTCTTTTCAAAAGATGCAGAAAATGACTTCGAAATTTGGGCTGAATTGTAGGATTTTCAGCAACACTGTGGTATTCTTACATTTTTGAATGAGATGGTCTTTCAGATAATGGTTATATGGAATTTCAGGCCCCTAATAATATGCTGGTCTGTAGATTTCTCTCAGAAAATCATCTGCAATTATGTACCAAACTTTGGGAAGTTTACCATTGTTCGGACAACCACCCTTGTTACTAACCCTTTTAATGCTTCATTAGTACAGGACACAACCTGAGCAGGGTTTCTTTTTCAGTAACCAATGAGGATTTTTATATGTAAGCGTCAGTTTGGCTTAGTTGGTAGCAAGATCTGTGAATTGAAAGGATGTGGGTTCAGCAGGCTTCATCCGCTCAGCAGGCTGTGGCCTGCTGCATGTCCCGTGGTCAGGCCTTCAGCCTCTTTTTGGAACGCCATCCCACATTCCCTTCACTTCACTCCCTCCCTTGCCTCCTGCTAATGGTAGCTAGGAAAATCAGACCCCTCCAACTGACGGGCTTTTCATACAGTCTTCTTAGTGTCTTAGGAGTCTCAAGACACTCCTCTTTGACCACTCCCTGATCCAACAACCCTGTTCGGGTCCAAATCCCTGACTGTCCAGTGCCTGGGGACATCATCTCGATGTGCAAGGCACTATACAAATGTAATTATGTAATTTTGTTGTTGTGTATCAGACGATTTAAAATGAAATTTGATTTCAGGAAAAAAGGTAAAGAATTGGTTGAAAAAAAATCCGTTCTTGAAGACTTGTAAAGTCTTTTTTTGGCCACTGTTCATGTTTCTACCCTTTTTATGTTGGGTGTTTCAGGGCTTTTTCTTGGTTGAGAAGCAGCTGAATGCAAAATTGGCTTCCACATTGTGAATATCACATCTTTGATTTCAAATTGTTCTCTTTTATGCTAGTCTTCACATACAGACATCTAAAAATATAAATAATAATAAATCTATTGTTTTTAATAGTTATTCTGGTGGTTCCTCTGTGAAATCAGTGAGCCAGTGTGATACTGAGATACTTAGGTAGATTGAGAAATTATATTACAGGGGAATTGGTTTTGAGATGGATAGCTTCTTGAAGGAGCAAGCACTGACATGATAATATGGGCTGAATGATGTTTCATTCTGTCATACAGTTCCATGATTCTGTTGGATCCATGGAAAGTCTTGGATCCAATTCCTGGTTTGACCCATTAAACGGATCTCAGCTGAGTTAGCAATTGAGGAAGAGAGCATTGCAGATGGGTTTCCCAGTGCAAAGGGGAATGCTTATTGTGAAATAGAATACATTATTATTATTATTAATATTTCTCTTTCTACTTGTAATAAGATGAGAAAAGAATGTCTGAGGACTATCCCTATTGTTACATGTGTGGCTTAATTTTAGACGATTATATCTATAAGTTTTAAAATTACATTGTTGTTGATTTCTGAAATGGCAGCTTGGAAAATCAGACCCCTCCAACTGACGGGCTTTTCATACAGTCTTCTTAGTGTCTTAGGACACAGGCACTTAGAAAAATCTTGGCATCTCTTTACAAAAAATGGAAACTGGCCTAATAAATGACATACTTTCCAGCCACACTCTGATCCCTATCTCTACAATTACAGCAGGAACTGTAAGCAAGAAACTGCAGGACAAGACCACAGCAGTCCACCATAAATAGAACTGCAATTGTATCATGAATAAAGAACATAAATATACAGTGATTAGGTTGCTGTGTTGCTTTTCATTACATCCATATAGGAATAATCCATTATGGAATGAATGTAATTTGCGATATAACTTGCCAAAGGCAAAGTTGAAAGATACTTAGTTGACTTTTCGGGTCATTTCCAAATTGTGTGACGTCGCAATAAACTGAGCAAACAGGGTTCTGGGTTAAATTGCTAATCAGTTGAGTTCATATCCTCAGAAGTCATCCTCAAGCTGTACAACATGAGTACTGTATGCAGTATTAGTTGCTTTGATTCATCTAAATTGTTAATAGGGATGAGCTACAAGGAAAAAAAATGTCTCCAAAGTAAGCTTATAGAGATATATTAAAAAAACTAAATGGGATAGAGAAATTAAACCCAGAACAATACTTTCAAATACAATGAGGAGGCAGGACAAGAGTCACAGATTTTGGATTATGAAGTGCATATTAATAATTATCCTTGCATTTGATATGTTGTCTTTCATGTCCAGTGGACCATCTCAAAGTGCTTTGCGGGACTTGCTGAAAAGTGTAGTTTGTAGGCAAACGTGGCAGACAATTTTTGCACAGCAAAGTTGAACAAGCAGCCATGAAGCCATTAATGATTTTTTTATTTGGGAGATTCCTAATTAGGACACTAAGAAACTGGCTTCTCAGTGTCCTAATTAAGAATCAGTTTTGATTGCTGAATAATGCCATGGGATCTTCAACATCCACCGGAGTAGGCAGATGGCACTTGGGTTTAACGACTCTTCCGAAGGATGGTATGTCCAGCAATGCAACGTTCCCCCCAGCACTAGGGTGACCGTAGAATATATGAGTTCAAAGACCTGAAGTGGGACCCAGTCTTCCCCATTTGCTCCACAAATGGCAGCTGTGCCTTCAGCCACTGTGCCCCAAATCTCTGGAATCCCTTGTCTCAATCCTCCATCTTGCTCCCTCTTTGCCCATCTTCAGTTCACACCCAAAGACTTTCCTCTTCGACAGCTTCGGTCAGCTCCCTCCCAATTTAGCTCAGTGTCAAACCACACCACTGTTAAGTCCAAGATGCTACCCAAGTGAAAGGTGCAACATAAATGCAAGTTGTTGTTGTTTGTGAACACCCAAACTTCTAACACAGTGCTACTAACTAAGCCAGGTTGACATATAATGTAATATTTGAAAGAGAAAGTGGATAATTTTAAGAAAGCAAAATAAAAACAACTGCAGGTGCTGCAAATCATGAAGCAAAACAGAAATGCTGGAATTGAACAATACAATAAATAATTACATGTATACAGTATCTTTCATGCCAGCAGGACATCCCAAAACATCTAACACCCTACTGGCTGGGCACCCGAGCTAGGAGTGGGAGCTGGAAGGGACTGGGAGGGTTGAGATGACCGACAGCAAGGTCAAAGAGGAAGGTTTTGAGACAGGTCGACCAATAGCAATGAGTCATATTTTAGGCATGATTTTTCACTGGTTATAGTTGAAATTATTAACACATTCATTTTAGTTTTTATTGGCTTTTATTTTCAAGAAATGCTATTGATTGTCTGAAAGCCAGTTTGAGAGTTCTACTCAACAAAGGGCTGGACTCCAATGACTGACTATTTGAGGTTTATTATGTGTTATGTGCAAACCATGTGTGGATGCATAATAATAACAAATAATAATAATTCTTGCATTTGATATAGCACTTTTCACATATTCTAGAATATACTGTAAAGTGAATTGATTATATTTGTGGGTGAAATGCAGCAGCCAATTGCGCACTCAGTGTCCCACAAACAGTCGTGGATTGAAGTGACCAATTTATAATTTTTTTTCTTGAGGGATTATTATCAGGCGTTTAGAGTAAGGAAACTTGCCCAAGGTTTCGACCTGCCGGGAATCGAACCAGGGCTCTTGCTTGCGAGGCGAGTGCTGTAACCACTGAGCTACAGGACTCCTGAATGCATGTAAATAGAGGGAATTACTGGTGGCCTTAATCATGTCTTTACCAATGAATTGGTTGTTAATGACAAACTTAAGGGCACCTTAATTATACTATTAGGACTTAAACATTCAATACTTGTATAGGAGAATTAAGATCTGTGCTGTTTCTCAGTACGAAATGTTCAATAATCGGATTTCTGATAACATTGCACATGCTGAAGAATGCGTTAACAAAATTCCAAAACATAAAATTAGATCTTAACGAAGTGAAAGAAGCATACAAATGAGTAACGTGAGTTTAATCATTCTTTTATTAGTGAAAATAAAGAAAGACTTTAGCAAGAATAGAGGAAAGATTGATTAACCATTCCCCTTTCTGTAAAAATGAAGATTGTTTAATAACATGCAGAAGAACCGTCTTGTGATATACAATCACAGGGTCACAAGAGAGATTCGGATGAAGAAGACTCTTTGGCCTATTTGATCCCATCCCTCTAGAATAACCACACTACTGTCATCTCATCACAACATAGAGCTTGTTTTTAAATGTGTCCAGCATCCTGGTCTCAACCACCCTTCCTGGTAATCTGTTTCAGTCATTACTTACTCTCTACCCTTTGTATGTTAATACAATATCCCACAGCCACAGAGTGAGTGATCAATTTTTATTTGGGGGGTTTGTTGGCTATGACACTGGAAAAACCCTTCTCTTTTTAGAAAGGTCCTATGGGATGTTTAATATCCTCCTGGCTCCCCCCTGCTCGGTGTCATGCTCCGCCATTGTGAAGCGCTCTGCGGGAGGGGCGCTATATAAATTCAAGTTGTTGTTGTTGTCCACCTGAACAGGCAGACAGGACCTCGAATTAACATCTCATCTGAAAGATAGTTTGCCCTTTGAAACAGTTTCAAATCATGAATTTCAAATTCAGCACTCCTTTCTAAGCACTTTTAAATTAAGAAAAGGCACTCACCACTTTCCTTCTTCATTTTCAAACTGCTTAACAGTATATCCAAACATATCAGCCTGTGAGCCATTGAAAATCATAGGGTTTTTCACATCAAGGTTGAATGAACTGGCCAGCTGCAGTAATCCTGCAGGAGAATCAAGGTAAGGTGTAGTAAACATAATCATAATAATAATTAATAATAATATAATAGTTTGCATTTTCAGTCATCATTCCACTCCCCACCTGCTTGGCTGCCATCCCCAGCTCAGATGCCAAGCCAATATTGTTAAGTGCTTTGGGATGTCCTCCTGATGTGAAAGGTGCTTTATAAATGTAAGATTGTATTGTATAATAATAATACTAAAGCTGAGACATTTTTACTTTCAGTAAATGCACAGTCCCACAGCAATACTGAATTGTTAAACATATTGAGCTTTCCTCAGTGGCTGAAATAAGTAAAAACAACCTCTAATGCATTGTTGGATCATACAAGTATGAGTCCTGAAATTCCACTTTAGTCTTAACTTAATTCTAATAATAAATAGTAATCCTTGCATTTGATATCGCGCCCTATCATGTCATTGAGACGTCTCATGTACAGGTGATATGTTTTTATCCGGTTTAATAATAATAATCCTTGCATTTGATATAGTGCTTTCCACGTCGGGAGGACGTCCCAAAGCGCTTCACAGAACACACTGTAAAGTGAATTGACTGTATATTTGTGGGCGAACGCGGCAGCCAATTGCGCACAGCAATGTCCCACAAAGAGTCGTAGATTGAAAATGACCAATTTATTATTGTTTTTGGTTTTGGAGGGATTATTATTATTAGGCGTGTGGAGTAAGGAAACTTGCCCAAGGTTTCGCCCTGCCTGGAATTGAACTCAGGTCTCTCACTTGCGAAGCGAGTGCTCTAACCACTGAGCTACAGGACTCCACAATTTGTTTGTACTGAAGTGCGCTTTTCATTAAATAATAATCCTTGTAATTGATATAGCACCTTATCATGTCATTGAGACATCTCAAGCACTTCACACCATATACTTAAAGTGGATTGACAGTATATTTTGGGGGTGAAAACTTAACCATTTTGTATTAACATTTAAGATGACACAGAATTGTGTTAAATCACTGAATGATTCCAGTGTCCTGGCCTCAACCATCCTTCTTGGTAATGTTCTCCAGGTGTTAATTATCCTATGGGTTAAATAGATGCTCCCTGGTGTCTATATTCTTTACCTTTTGGCCCGTGCTTTCAGTCATCTATGCCCACCTTACTCCTTTAGTTCCTATTACCCAGCTTCGGTCCCAGCCAGCTGTGTAAAGAATTTTGAGGCATATGCCTGACATGAAAAGTGCTATATGTATTATATATGTATGTATATATATATGTTATATTGTATTATCCAAAAATCGCTCATTCCAACCATTTATCAAATGAGACATTCAACCAAGGTCTCGTCTGCTTGTTTAGGTGGACGTTAAAGATCCCTGGGCATGATTCGAAAAGAGAAGCGAGTTTCTTCTGGTGTCCTGGCCAACGATCCCCCATATAAAATTGATCATTGACTTCATTGCTGTTTGTGGGGCATTGCTGTAGGCAATTTTTTTTATTTGTAATATTTTTTATCAATTTTTTCAATGTCCATTTTTGCATTTGAAGGACACAAAACAGGGACAAATGGACAATTGTAATGATGATTTATCCACATTTATTGCTTTCATAAAGTAGTGATTACAACAATCATTGATATCGGTCCGCTTGGCAAAAGATATTTACTGGTGCTATGCAGAAAAATAAGCAGGCAATTTATCTTAGAAAGTCATTAAGGAGTCATCTAATTTATGCAGGTACTGCAAGTAAACAAGCTATTTCATGTTATGCAGACAGATAAAGAGCCAGTTTATCACTTGCAAACCCATTCCTCATTCTTCGAATCGCTCCAAGCTCACATCCAAGGGTCTATCATAATAATCGTTGCTTTTGATATAGTGCCTTACATGCCATGGGGAGGACTCAAAGTGCTTCCTAAGATTTTACTGTGAAGCGGTATATTCTGTAGGCAAACGTGGCAGCCAATTTGCACATATTAATGTCCTACACACAGCCATGAAGTAAATGACCAATTTTAACTTGGGGATAGTTGCCTAAGACACCAGGAGAAAATCTGAACAGAGCCTTGGTTTAACTCTCATCCAAAAGATGGCATCTCAAACAATGCAGTGCATCTCTGGCACTGCACCAGAGTGTCAGCCTCGGCTGAATGCTCAAATCTTGATGTGGAGCTTGAACCCACAACCTTCTGAGTCAGAATGCTACCAACTGAGCCAGGCTGACACCTAGGCTCAAATTTCTTTCACCCATCGATCCTTCTCAGAATCAGTGATCCATACCCACCCATGTTTAGTCATTACCCAGCAGTGCTGCATTAACCAGAGTCACAGAGTCCCAGGCCTTCTCTGCTGCCTCAGTAAAAGTACACATTTCAACACATGCTGTTGAGTGGCTCTCATCAAAGGATGTGTTTTTGTTTTTTTCTTTCTCCTCTTTGCTCACATTTGACCTCATTATAAGCCGTTCCCAAGGCTCCAGACATACTTTAATTTTAATCTTGATTCCTCACCTTTCAGCATTGTGAAAATTCAATTTCTGTCAGTGAATATTTATTGGTGTTGGATGGCATAACCGATAAATACTGATGTTAACCAATTTTATTGAAACCTGGCAAGCCTAGAAATTGCCCAGATAAAATCAATCATTCACTGCATGGCTGTTGGTGGGACATACTGTGGGCAAATTTGCTGCTGGGTTCACCTACAAATACAGTCTTTGCAATACTTTGCAGGAAGTCCTGTGAAGTGTTTGACTACCGGACAAGGCGCTAAATCAAATGCAAAGATTTTTATAATTAAAATGAACAAGTGAAAGATGCTTGATTTAGATACCGGTTTATCGACATTCAAACTGCACAACAATCTAATATTTTATGACAGCACTTTGGAGGTACTTAACTCTGTGCTAAAAGTGTCTCGTGTAAACTTCTGTACTCTAAAACTTTATACAATTCCGCTTTATAGGAAAAAGTCTCAGAAGCACTGACAGTACTTGGTATGTACCTCCAAGTGCCACTATGGATTCTGTATAAATCAAATGAAGTAATTCATTATAGATACGTGTCAGAGTGTTAAGGCTAAACAGCTCTGAGTGAATTGCAAATGGAGACAGACCCAGCCATATGCCAGTAGTTAACTTAAAGAAAGGTTAACTTTTCCTCAAGCATTTAAACTGACTGATAGTTGCCATGGAAACACAAGGCTCTGTTGTTGATTATCCATGTATTGTTGTTCTTAATACTTTATCAAAAGGGATGAAGGAATAGCATTGCTGATTAGTAAGTAGCACTAGATACTGTTTACAATAATAATTCTTGCATTTGATATAGCGCCTTATCAGGTCGTCGAGACATCTCAAAGCTCCTCACAGTATATACTGTAAAGTGGATAGACTGTGTATTTTGTGGATGAAACAGTTGTGCACAACAATCTCCCACAAACAGCCAAGGAGTGAATGACCAATTTTATTTGGGGATTGTTGGCCAGGACACTGGGAGAATAATAATAATAATAATCCTTGCATTTGATATAGCGCTTTTCACGTCGGGAGGACGTCCCAAAGTGCTTCACAGAACACACTGTAAAGTGAATTGACTATATTTGTGGGCGAATGCGGCAGCCAATTGCGCAAAGCAATGTCCCACAAAGTCGTAGATTGAAAATGACCAATTTATTATTGGTTTTGGTTTTGGAGGGATTATTATTAGGCATGTGGAGTAAGCAAACTTGCCCAAGGTTTCGCCCTGCCTGGAATTGAACTCAGGTCTCTCACTTGCAAAACGAGTGCTCTAACCACTGAGCTACAGGACTCCCCAAAACTCCCTTTTGTTTTCGAATCGTGCCATGGGATCTTTAAAGTCCACGTGAACGGACAAACGTGGCTTTAGTTTAATGTCTTATCTGAAAAACGCACCTCTGACAATGGAGCACATCCCCTGGAGCACAATGGAGTCTCAACTGGAATATATGAGGTCCAGGTCCCAACATGGGACTTAAATTCAGGACCTTGTGACTTAGAGATGAGAGTAAAACTGAAATTGGCCGACACATCATACAAAGAATGATACAGAAGGAAACAGACTATTCGGCCCATTTAGTCCATACTTCACTGCAACAACTACAACAAAATTACATTTGTATAGCGACTTTCACATCGGGAGGAAGTCCCAAGGCGCTGGACAGAATATACTGTAAAGTGAATTAACTATATTTTGTGGGCAAAGTGTGCACAGCAGTGTCCCACAAACAGTTGTGGATTGAAATGACCAGTATATTATTATTATTTTTTTGAAGGAATTATACATGAGTTCTCACCCCTCTCATTCTCCTCTCCTGTAACCCTTATTCCCCTCTCCCTCATGTATGTGGATAGATATAGGATGAAGCTGAGCTCCCTCTAGCCCTTACCTGCCACTTATGAGTATGATGAACACATGCATTTCATTACAATTCCAACACAGTACACAATGGAACAGAGTGCAGGTTCCTGAGTATGTCTGCTCAAATGGAGAGATCACAGGTCAACGGCAAATACAAAGAGCAAACGGGTAATTTTTTCCTTAGAAGGGGGAAAAGGAAAATGTTTCCTGGGGCCATTCAATCTCCCTTTCCCCTCCCCTCCCTCCAAAGAAATTTCAGCCTCTCAGTTGGAGAATCTGTGTCGGGGGAGGCAGCAGAAGATATTAACACAAGACTTTTGAACATTCAATATATTTGAGTTCAGCAAAATAAATTTAAAACAAGACATGCTGTCAGAATGATCCTAAGTTTCCTTGTAATTAAATATTTCAGATACACCCTCAACTCCCAGTAATTTTCCAATACAGAGTCTTGAATTTCCAAATACTCTTTGAGCTCAGTGAAGCTTCACATCACTGCCAACATGTTTAAACTCATTTCTATAAACAGTAAGCATCCAGTCCCACCCTTTCTGGTTAGTTTCAACTGCTAAGAAATTGTAAACATTGAAACACAAGGGTCTGAAAGAAATTGACAGGTGATTTTGTTGTGTTGCAATACAATATACATT